CAGGGCTGTATCTTTTCTTGATTCCCCAATTTACAATGTAATCTTCCTTTAAATTAACTAACCAAGTATTTGCCTTATAAGATTCTATTGTAATTACATTCAACTTTCATTATATAGGACTTATTCATTGATCCATGCTTGCTAGCTTGTTATCTAGTGGCTGGTTTATACCAGATATCCTTACTTGGTGGTTAGGAGTTAATGGGTTTGATTAGGTGAGCCACACTCCAGAGTCCGATGGGTCACATTTGCTTCAAAATGCCTTCTGGAAAGATGGGATCAGTGGTAACTAGCTGCCTTGTCAAATTGTGATTTCACTAAATTCGTGTCCTGGAAATGAAACTTTCTAGTTTTATTTGAAGAAACAAGATATGGTTGAACTCCTAGCACTGAGTTTTCACCAATAATCCAGCAAAGTTAGAGTGTTTAGCACAGAAAACAAATCAAACTACTGTTTTGGTACCTAGCATGTAATAAGTGGACCACAAAACAATGATTTTGTAGTATGTGTGCATACGTGTGTTTCTAAAAAAAAGATCAGAAGGAACCCACCCAGTTACTCTTTTCTGTGCTTATAGAACACTACTGTGAAGTTGTAGAATTTGTTGTAACTCTCTTGGGAAGTTGCCCAGGGGCTCTGGGCGAAGGTTATAAGGTGTTGACTCCATAAAGAAGTTTCCAAGTCAACAATTGTGGCCATTAGCTGAGCAAAATGTTACCATTCAGCTCCAGTGAATGGTAGGCTCCTGACAATCTTGAGAACCACCAGGGAGAGGGTGAGTAACAGTGACTTAAATAACTCTAGACAGCCCAGCCAGTGTGGCTCACTGGTTGGGCATCAACCCATGCACCGAGAGGTCATCAGTTCCATTCCCAGCAGGGCACATGCCCAGGTTGTGGGCCCAATCCCTAGTGGGTGTCATGCAGGAGGCTGCCAATCGATATTCTCTCTCATCGATGTTTCTCTCTCTCTCCCTCTCCCTTCCCCTCTCTCTAAAATCAACTAAATAACTAAATAACTAAATAACTCTAGGTGAAGCCCACCAGACATTTGAACTTCAGGGCTTAGAGGTTTATAGATAGTCATAGAAAGACTGATTATCAATCATTTATGCAGTGGTCTGCTCACAGCAAAAGACCTGTGTCATCTGTCTCCATAAATAACTACGTGTTTAAAAATGAGCACACCCCTGGCTGGTTTGGCTCAGTGGTTAAAGCGTTGGCCTGAGGTCCAGAGAGACCCGGGTTTGGTTCCCGCTAAGGGCATGTACCTTGGTTGCAGTTTGTCCCCGGCCCTGGTTGGGTTGTGCAGGTGGCAGCCACTCGATGTGTCTCTTTCACATCGATGTTTCTCTCTCTCTCCCTCTTCCTCTCTCTCCCTCCTACTCTATCTAAACAAAAAATGGAAAAAATGTCCTCAGGTGAGGATAAATAAATAAAAATTAGCACAGGCATAGGTGCTTGACAATTTGGAATCGAATTCTGGCTCTGTCACTGTGACCGTGAGTAAATAAGTTAACCTCTTTGAGCCTGTTTCCTTATTGGTGAAAAGGGAATAGTAATCCCTGCCTCACAGGAATGTTGAGAGGATTAAATGAAATCATGCAGGTAGAATTCTCAGCACAATGCCTCCTAAATAAAGTTATTATTAAATGTTTCAGTCTACCCTGACTGGTTTGGCTCAGCAGTTAGAACGTCGGCCCATGGATGAAAGAGTCTTGGGTTCAATTCCGGTCAAGGGCATGTACCTCAGTTGTGGTTCAGTCCCTGGCCCTGGTCTGGGTCATGCAGGAGGCAACCAATTGATGTGTCTCTCTCACATCAGTATCTCTCTCTCTCTCTCTCTCTCTCTCTCTCTCTCTCTCTCACTCCCTCCCTCCCTCCCTCCCTCCCTCCCTCCCTCCCTCCTTCCCTCCCTCCCACTCTATCTGAAGATAAATGGGAAAATACCCTCAGGTGAGGATTAAAAAAAAGTCTGAGTCAACAAAATTAGGAATTAATTAATTTAGCAAGTGGACCTCCTCTGTCCAAATCTTGAGAGAAAATCATAGGGTATAAAATTGAAGGGGGTGGGAGAAACAAGTGGGGGATTAGGTAAGTGGGGGATTAGGTGAGGCAAATTTGATGTTCAGTCTTCCCTCTAACCTTACATTTTAGGCCAACAGTTTAACCAAGCCTCCTGCCTCAGTCTGCCATTAGAATGAAAAAACTTGGGTAAGCAGAGGATATCAGGATACTTTCCTATCACCCCACAGGGGACCTCAGTTTTTATAAAGTAAAGTCTTTCTGCCTAGGCAACAAAGAAATTAATCAGAAATGAGACCCAAGCCTTTTTGGGTTGGTACCAGGTCTTGTCCACCAGTGTTTAAGTGGCTAACTAACCGGGTAGGAAAATCCCAGGCTGGATGCTTAGCTTTCTCATGGTGAGAAGTCCCATCTAGTAGGGATAGGCAGGATTGGAGCAGCCAGGAGAGGCCTACTCTTGGCCTGGAACAAGGGAAATTTGTGGGTTAGGCCAAGTGTGTTTCTCTGAGAATAAAGAGCTCCTTATTTGGACACAATGGTAGCCCCATGGCATAATGCTGGGACCCAGGTGCGTGGGAGCAAGTGAAGAGGACTGGTGTAGGGCTATTAAGGGATTTCTAGGGCCCTTCAGTGGGACCCTTTGTACAGGTCTTACCGGCAACCTGGATATGTAAAAGAGCGGTTCTATGATGGAATTAGAAAGAAGAGAGTGCCCAGTGGAGGCCTACACAAGATCAATCCTTCACAATCTTAACTTTGTGCTTTATACTTTTCCAGTAACCCCCATTCCTCACTCCAGTATATCTTTTGCTTTAGTACCTGACTATACTTAATTTCCTTCACACACTCCGTTCTACCCAGAAAACCTTTCTCCATTGCTATGCTTTCAAACAGGTCATCTTTTAAGACCTTAAAAAGCCTCCCCTTGGGTTAGTCATTCTATATTATTTATTCATTCATTCACCCTACAAATACATATTTATTAAACCTCTATTATCGCCCTGGCTGGTTTTGCTCAGGGGTTATAGCATCGGTCTTTGGACCACGGAGTCCTGGGTTTGGTTCCCGCTAAGGGCACGTACCTGGGTTGCAGTTTGTCCCCGCCCTGGTTGGGGTTGTGTGGGTGGCAATTAATTGATCTGTCTCTCTCACGTCAATGTTTCTCTCTCTCTCTTACTCCCTCTCTCCCTCCTGCTCTATCTGAAGATAAATGCAAAAATGTCCTGGGGTGAGGATAAAACAACAACAAAAAAACCTCTATTATGGCTCTGGCCGGTTTGGCTCAGAGGTTTGGGGGTCCAACGACCCTATCACAGGGGTTGCCTAAGACCATTGGAAAAGACTTATTTCTGATGGTCTTAGGAACCGAGACACCACTACTCATCTGTCTCCAGGTGGGTCCGCCCACATGCAAATACGTCCACATACAACATGAGAAACTGTATTAAAGGGTTGTGGCACTAGGAAGGTTGAGAACCACTGGGTTAGAGATTCAGCCACTGGACCAAAGGGTAACGGGCTCGATTCCCAGTCAAGGGCATGTATCTGGGTTGCAGGTTCGATCCCCAGCCCCAGTGGGGGTTGTGCAGGAGGCAACCCATCGATCTCTCTCTCTCTCACATCAATCTTTCTCCCTTCCTTCCACTCTTTCTAAAAATCAATGGAAAAATATCATCCGGTGAGGATTAAAAAAACAAAACAAAAACTGTTATGTATGAGGCACTGCTAGGCATTGTGGATACAATATAAATCTGCTCACAGCCAACTGAAAATCCTTCAGTGTTTCCCTATAAAGTTAAAATGCTTAGAATGACTAACAGCATCCTCAATTATCTGGTCCCTGACTAGTTTTCAAGGCCTGCTCCCCAGCACCTGTTTCCTTCACCATTTATCTGTACCCAAGGACTTGAGTGTTCACTTAATATGATTCGCTCTCAAGTTTCTGTTGCTTTGTGCTATGGTCCCTTCTTGTCTACTTGGTAAACTCCAATTATCCTTTAACACTCAGTTCTGGAAGCATTTTGTTTATAAGGTCTTCTCTGAAGAAGCCCCCATTCTCACTTCAAAACAGTATCAAGTACTTCCTTTTTTTGCGTCTCCATAGCATTCCATATTTAATTTAATCTCACACAATATTGCAAATTTTTTGTTTACATACTTATCTTCTTTTGATAGTGAGCCACTTTATGGCAGAGGCTTTATCCTATCCATCTTTGTAACCCCAGTCACCAACATAAAGCCTGGCACAAAGTTGGTGCTTAATAAATATTGGCTAAATGAGCAAATGAATGCACTTATTTGGTTGAACAAACTGGGTATCCTTTTTTTAATCCTCACCTGAGGATATTTTGCCATTGATTTTCAGACAGAGTGGTGGGGGTTGGGGGGCACATCGACGTGAAAGAGACACATCAATTGGCTGCCTCCCGCATGACCCCAACCAGGGTCAGGGATTGAACTGCAACTAAGGCATATACCCTTGACCAGAATTAAACCTGTGACTCTTTGGTCTGCAGCCTGACGCTCTAACTGCTGAGCAAAACTGGCCAGGGCCAAACTGGGCATATTTTTATTTTTAAAATTTTTTTCCTTTATTGATTTTAGAGAGAGAGGAAGTGAGAAGAAGAGAGAGAAAGACATGGATGAGAGAGAACATCAATTGGCCGCCTCCTGCATGCCCCCCACTGGGGATCTGGCCCACAACCCAGGCATGTGTCCTGCCCGGAATTGAACCAGTAACCTCTTGGTGCATGGGTCAATGCTCAACCACTGAGCCACAGTGGCCGGACCAACCTGGGCATCTTAATAAGGATATTAAATGACAGGAGAGGGAACCTAAATGGATACCTCTCTGCCTACTCCATAATTTTAACTAGTGTAACTGTTAATCTTGGGGGATAAATCGCTAACCCAAGGTAGGAAAGGAAATAGCTAAAAAGTGGGCCTTCTAACCATCAACTCAACATTCCCCTTACTTGTTTCTTCAGTTGTGTCCCTTTTCTTGTGCCGAAAGGCATTTTGATATCCCAGTAGATATAAATTGAAGAAGGCCATCTCAGCTCCTCCCTGTCCTTTTCTGGAATGTCCAGGCTAGAGCACTGAACTGTTTGGTAACCATGATACTGTTCTGAAGAACTATTATGACTGACACTCCCTTCGTCTCAGGAGGCACATGATTTATGGGTTCACAGTGAAGCTGGAGTGGGAGTAGGCTAAATAACTTTGGGAAAATGGAGTAATCAAGTGCCATTTACCTTTTTATTTAACCCCCGTTTTATTAACTGTAAGCTTCAGAAGGCAGTGAGTAGAAAGAGCATTGACCAGGGCTGAAATCTTAGTTTTAGCATATTCTACATTCCTGATTTTGAATAGAGTACTCCCCGTGTTTTGTTGTTGTTGTTGTTGTTTTTTTATAGAGTGGGAGGAAGAGAGAGAGAGAAACATCAACGTGAGAGAGACATATCCAGTGGCTGCCACCCGCATAACCCATCCAGGGCCGGAGACAAACTGCAACCGAGATACATGCTCTTAGCGGGAACCTAACCTGGGTCTCTCTGGACCACAGGCCGAAGCTCTAACTGCTGAGCCAAATTGGCCAGGGCTTTTTTTTTTTTTTTTTTAATAAAAAAACAAGATGGTATCTATTTCATGGAGGTATGAGAATTAAAAGAGATAATGTATGCAAATTTCCTCAGCATTGTGTTCAGCATATAATGGAACCTTAGCAAACTATTTAAATTTGAACATGGTACTTCCAATAAGTCTTTAAGTTATTTCAAGCAGTGGTGTGCCGAACCAGTTCATATTTACTTTTTTTTTAATCCTCACCTGAGGATATTTTTGCATTTATCTTCAGATATAGCAGGAGGGAGAGAGGGAGAAAGAGAGAGAGAGAAACATCGATGTGAGAGAGACACATCGACTGGTTGCCACCCACACGACCCCAACCGGGGCTGGATACAAACTGCAACTGAGGTATGTGCCCTTAGCAGGAACCGAACCCAGGTCTCTCTGGTCTGTGGGCCGATGCTCTAACTGCTGAGCCCAACCAACCAGGGCTTCTATTTAGTTTTTTTTTTTTTTTTATCCTCACCCGAGGACATTTTTTCCATTTTTTTGTTCAGGTAGAGTGGGAGGGAGAGAGAGAGGAAGAGAGAGAGAGAAAAAACATCGATGTGAAAGGGACACATCGAGTGGCTACCACCCTCACGACCAACCAGGGCCGGGGGACAAACTGCAACCAAGGTACATGCCCTTAGCGGGAACTGAACCTGGGTCTCTCGGGACCGCAGGCCGATGCTCTAACCGCTGAGCCAAACTGGCCAGGGCTCTATTTAGTTTTGAGAGCCACTTGCTTGCTGCGACCTGCACAGCCAGTCCGTTGCTAAACTTTCAGGAATTTTCTGAGCTGGTTTTTAAACAACCATTATTGTAAAAATTACAATGGAATAAATTACATTAAAAATAAAAGTATGCCCTGGCTGGTTTGGCTCAGCGGTTAGAGCGTCGGTCTGTGGTCCAGAGAGACCTGAGTTCGGTTCCCACTAAGGGTACGTACCTCGGTTGCAGTTTGTCCCCGGCCCTGGTTGGTTGTGCGGGTGGCAGCCACTCAGTGTGTCCCTTTCACATCGATGTTTCTCTCTCTTCCTCTCTCTCCCTCCCACTCTGTCTGAACAAAAAATGGAAAAATGTCCTCGGGTGAGGATAAAAAAAGAAAACAAACAAACAAAAAAACAAAAACAAAAATATAAGTAGTAGCCCTGGCCAGTTTGGCTCAGCAGTTAGGGCGTTGGCCTGTGGTTCAGGGAGACCTGGGTTCAGTTCCCGCTAAGGGCATATGCCTTGGTTGCAGTTTGTCCCTGGCCCTGGTGGGGTTGTGCGGGTAGCAGCCACTCAATGTGTCCCTTTCACATCGATGTTTCTCTCTCTCTCCCCCTCCTACTCTATCTGAACAAAAAATGGAAAAATGTCCTCAGGTGAGGATTAAAAAAAAAAAAAAAAGTAGTAAATATGAAAACTCTTCCTATTTTACTACATTTTATTATTATCTATGCTCATGGGGTTATTTAAGCTATTGTATCTTCTGTGTGTTTATTTATTTTTATTCCTTTTTTCTGTTTGCTTTTCAGTTTGGGAGGTTTCTACTGTCATATCTTCAAACTCATTGATTCTTTCCTTGATTGTGTCCCGTCTACTAAGCCCACAAAAGGCATTCTTCATTTCTGTTACAGTGTTATTGATTTCTAGCATTTTCTTTTGATTCTTAGAGTTTTCACCTTTTTGCTTACATTACTTGTCTTGTTCTTGTGCACTTTTTCCATTAGAGTCCTTAGTATATTAATCATAGTTATTTTAAATTCCTGTTTTGATAATTCCAAAATTTCTGCCATATATGAGTCTGGTTCTGATGCTTGCCTTGTCTCTTTAGACTGTATTTTTTGTCTTTTAGCATGCTTTGTAATTTTTTTTTTTTTTTTTTGTAGAAAGTCAGGCATAATATGCTGGGTAAAAGAAACAGGTTTTATGTTTATCTGGCTGGGAGTTAGACTGTTTTCCATTTATTCTAGATGTATGTTTCAGAAGCTAAATCTCTTTGTTTTTGGGTTTCCCTAGAGACTTCTTAAATACTCTGAGCTTGTAGTTCTTCCAGTTGTAATGCTCTGTTATTACACAGGAGCCCTACTGATGTGTTGGTAAATGGGAGGTGGGGAGAAAAATGTTCTCTAATCCTATTAGGCTTCAGTCTTCCAGTGAGCTTGTTTTCCTGATTATGACCTTCATAAATTTTTCTTATCTTTTTCCTCCCCTTGGGTGAAACAAGAAAGCTAGAGGAGGCTGGAGTTAGTTGTTTTCCTTCCCCCATATTGGTTAGGCACTGTTAAATAGTTTTCCTTGAGGGTGGGCCTTTGTGTAGACCTGAATGCTCTGGCCCTGCCCGGGTAGCTCAGTTGGCTAGAGCACTGTCCCAATACTCTAAGGTTCTGGATTCAATCCCCAGTCAGAGTACATACAAGAATCAACCAATGAATGCATAAATAAGTAGAATAACAAATTGATGTTTCTCTCCCTCTCCCTTCTTTTCTAAAATCAATAAATAAAAATTAAAAAACAAAACAAAACTGAATGCTCTGGGTGTATTTCAAAATTATTACTTTCCCTCTCTCCTTGCCAGAAGGAAGAAGAGAATTTTTTCCATTCTTCATAGTAAGACCTATAGGGCTCCCAGAGGTAAAACGCACAAAAATGTGGTGGACTCCTTAAGGCAGAGTCCCCAGGGATTTTTTGTTGTTCTTTTAATGTAGTCCTATTTCATTTATCAGCAATTAGTCAATTGCCCTTTAAGTATTCCTACCAGTTGCTGGTTCCAGTAGTAGTTTTTGCTCCCAGTGAGCCATCATTCTCTGTTCAGCCTGTTCTGATTCTGCTTGTCTCTCCATTTTTTGTTGTAGAGGTTGCTCTGTCACTTCAAATCTCTGATGCATTTAAGAAGGGTTGTTGATTTTCAGTTCAGCCTTTCTTTTTTTTTGGTTGAGAGAATAGGAGTGATGATTTCCAAGCTCTTTACATGTCAGATTGAAAACCAGAAGTCCCTGTCTATTTTATCTGTATGGAGGGTATAGTATGTGATTGTGTGTTCTTCTCTTCCCGGGATCAGTGATGTCACATTGGTAGCTTGAAATTGGCCATGATGGGAGATAACACTACAGAAATTGGCAAATGGTACAGACAAAGGCTTTATTTATTTGTTTTGTTGATTGTCTAGAGTTCAGAAAGTGTAGAGAAAAATGTAATTATGTAGATTAAGTGTAAAAGTGTATCATGTCAGTAGCCATTAAATTAGCAATAGCACAAAAAATTGAAGTATTCTTCCAGTATTCAAAAACTATTAAATTCATCAGAGATGTTGTTCAGTTCACTGACAAATAAGTGAAGTTCCAATATAAGTCTCATTGTTTCACTTTCATCTTATTGAATTATGCAAATGAAAATGTCAACCAATAGTCAAAGCTATGGTCATTTGTCAAATGCAATCATAGGCTGGTTCTTTTTTTGTTGTTAATCCTCACCCAAAGATAGTTTGCCACTGATTTTTAGATGGGGGGGGGTGGGGATGGACATCGATGTGAGAGAGACACATGGATTGGTTGCCTCCTGCATTTCCATTGACTGGGGCCAAGTATTGAACCTGCAACCCAGGTATGTGCCCTTGCCTGGGAATCAAACCTGAGACCCGTTGTTCCACCAGACTACTCTCTAACTGCTGAGCCAAACCACAGGTCCATAGGTTGGTTCTTGATTCAAGAGTTTGGTAAAACTCAATGAAAGCATTCTGTGAGAATCAGTTGGCTATAAAAATTTTACAATACATAGAATTGCATATTTTATTGTTTTATAATTGTGTGCTACACTTCCTTTATATTGATAAATTTACAATAAACTTTATGTATGTATACATACACATACAATTATTTTTTTGTGTAGCTGGTTGTTAATAATTTACCAGCACCATGGCCTATTTCAAGCTATCATATGACATCACTGAATGCAGAGTTATGGATAGTTTGGAAGAACATATCATCTTTTCATATTTTAATTTGGAGACTATAAAATTGTTGAGAGAATATTTTTGAGGGGAGAGAAATTGTTTTAACAGTAGTAAAAGGTAATGTCTGACATGACTGAAATAAGCACAGCAAAACAAAATAAGATTATACCATGAAATATGGTATAATCCTGTACTAGATTAGTCTAGTGAATAAGAAGAGTAGCCTCATAGGTGTGATTTACAGAAAATGGAGTCCTATTTAACAACAACAAAATTCCTCTGGTTTAAGATTTTATTTGTTGTTCTTTAAGGGCAGTGTATCAGAAGATTAACATTATTTTGACAATAAACATGTATCAAACACCTACTATGTATCAGATGTTCTGTCAGGATGCAGAGATGACATTTAAGATCCCACAGCTAGTTAAAGAGTAGCTGGGAACTTTGAGAACATTATACTAAGTGAAATAAGCTAGTCGAAGGAAGACAAATACTGTATGATTCCACATCTATGAGGTATCTAAAGTAGTTTAACTCATAGGAACATGGGGATTGTGAGCTTGGGAGGAGGGGGAAATGGGGAAGACAAATACTGTATGATTCCACATCTATGAGGTATCTAAAGTAGTTTAACTCATAGTAAAATGGGGATTGTGAGCTTGGGAGGAGGGGGAAATGGGAACTTGTTCAATGGGTACAGAATTTCAGTTTTACAAAATGAAAAAGTTGTAGAGACCTGTTGCATAATGATGTGAATATTGTTGACACTACTGATTTACTGACGTGTATACTTAAAAATGATTAAGCTCTGGCCAGGTAGCTCAGTTGGTTAGAGAATCATGTTGATATGCCAAGGTTGTGGGTTCCATCCTTGGTCAGGGCACATACAAGAATCAACCAGTGAATACATAAATAATTGGAACAACAAATTGACTTTTTTTTTTTCTCTCTCTCCCCCTTCCTGTCTCTCTAAAATCAATACATTTTAAAAATGGTTAAGATGCCCTGGCCAGTTTTGCTCAGCGGTTAGAGCGCTGGCCTATGGTCCAGAGAGGCCCTGGTTCAGTTCCCGCTAAGGGCACGTACCTCAGTTGCAGTTTGTCCCCGGCCCCGGTTGGGGTCGTGTGGGTGGCAACCACTCAATGTGTCTTTCTCACATGATGTTTCTCTCTCTCTCTCCCTCCCGCTCTATCTGAAGATAAATGCAAAAAAAAAAAATGTCCTTGGGGGAGGAAAAAAAATGGTTAAGATGGTTTAGAAAAAATAGAATAGCTGGGATTTGAATCCCAGCTCGATTCAAAAACTCACATTTATCAATTATATTATCACTGCTGCCTACTTTCAAGTAATTTTATCTTTAGTCAGAGTATTTCCTCTCTGATTTATATAGGTCCTCCTCTTCTATATGGCCAGGTAGCAAGCCATTAGTTAACAGGTGCATTGCCTGAAGCCTTACAGATATCAGAACTTTTTCTTGGAAGATTTGCATACTTAGCCAGGATAGCAAATTCAAGATGGAGTCATCAATCCAAGACAGTGGTACTCAACCCTTTTCATCTCATGGCACACATAAACTAGTTACTAAAATTCTGCAGCACACCATATATATATTTGCCGATCTGACAAAAATAAATAGGTATAATTTTGATTCATTCACACCAGACAGTTATTGTTGTGTTGGCTGTTGTCATTCTTTTATTTGACAATCTAAGGGAAAAGAGGTCAGCGCCCCTGACTAAATAGTCATGTGTTGCCTATTTTAAAAATTCTTGTGGCTCACCATCCAAGAGATTAAGTGGAGAACCAAACACAGGTCAGAGAAATAGGCAAGAGGGATCTGGAGAAATAAATTTGACTTTTAAAAGACAACATACCTGACTAAATAACTGAAAAAAATGCTATTTTATTAAAAGAAAAAAGTCTCTGATAGAGGAGGTTTGAAATCATTAATTTTTTTTTTTTTTTACTGTTACAACCTTTTGTAATTTAAATCTTCCTAAACCTCAATTTTTCTTGAGGAAAATGGAGCTAAGGCTAACTGTAGGCAGTATATGGTAGAAGAGGCCTGATATGGAAGGAAACACTTCTGATAATGAATTAGAATAAAACTTACTGCATTGGAACAGCCATGGCTAGAAATAACAAAACTCAAAAGTATTATTGTAACTGAATGAAAGCCTGTTCTGCTTGCTGCATGACAGCCAGTAAGTTGAGTGACAGGAGTTGAGGCAAGGAAAGTGACTTTATTCACAAAGCCAGCAAGCTGAAAAGACAGCAGACTAAGTGTCCTAAAGAACCATCTATGTGTTGAATAAACAAACAAACAAACAAAAACAAAGCAAAACAAAAAAACCATCTTGAGAAAGTACAGAATTTATACTTTTATGTCAGGGAAGGGAGGAACTGGAGAAGTTTGAGCTCAGAGGTGATTAATGATTGAAGAGATCTGGATATCAGCAAGGATCCAAGAAGAATGGTGAAAACTTGAAACTCAGTCACAAAGTTCCTATAAATCGTTATTTTTGTATATACCTTCCTTATCTCCTTGGGGAGGTAGTTTTGAGCAGGGAGGTTGTTTCAGTAATTTCTTGGCTATAGGTTAGATTCCTTTAATGATTAGCATATCTACCTGCAGAACTAAGCAGAAATAGCTAAAAGGACATGTCAGGCTGGAGCAAAATGGAGTCTGAAAGACCAATCATTTTATTCTGCTACCTTTTAAATTTTTTTTCTTTATTGATTTTTTAGAAAGAGAGAGGAAGGGAGAGGGAGAGAGAGATAGAAACATTGATGAACGAGAACATCGACTGGCTGCCTCCTGCATGCCCCCCACTGGGGATTCGGCCTAAAACCTGGACATGTGCCCTGACCCAGAATCGAACCAGCAACCTCTTGGTGCATGGGCTGACACTCAACCACTGAGCCACACTGGCCACGCTTATTCTACTACATTTTAAAAGACAAATCATTCTACTTTTAGTCAAATTTAACCAAGGTAAATTGAGTGTTCCAGAAAAGCAATAATACAGTATGCTAGAATGGAAATAAAACACACAATAAAATTAGACTTGTTTTAAAAATCTACACTTATAAGTGGTATATTGTAGGGAAAACTACTTAATCTCCCTGAGTCTCAGATTCTTTATTGTAGGGTATTGTGAGCATTTATTTCACATTTATTTACTAGTAGGGCCAGGACTAAATGAAGTAAATGCTAGGGATACAAAAATGAAGAAGGCATTGTTTTTGCCCTTGATATTGATATAATCTGATAACTACTATAACATCACTGAATGTCTTCTATGTTTTTAACTCATTACATCTTCATTTAAAATTCTTCTTACAATCTAAAACAGAGGTATTATTATCATTTACACTTGTACAAGAGGTACAGAGAGGTTAAGTATCCTGCCCATAAAGCATTGGAGCTGGGCTTCATCTTGACAGAAGACAGGAACTTACAAATTTGTACATATGCAGGGTGGTGGTAAAGCTTTCCACACTGAAGAAGCAGTTTTAGTTCACCCATTCGCAAAACAGGATTTAAATTTTATTTAATACCTGTTGTGGTCGTGCCCATTAAATTAAATAGTATGAGTATTGTGCCTGGAATGTGTTAAGCACTAAATTAATGCTATTAATCTCATTTTATTCTTTTAAGTTGGATCATTGTGGTGATGCTAGGAATGAGTTCAAGGCTTTAGCTACATATCTCATACACTGACATTTTTTTTTTTTAAATCCTCACCTGAGGATTTTTTCTATTTATCATGAGATGGAGTGAGAGGGGAGATGAAGAGAAAGGGAGATAAAGAGAAACATCCATGTAAAAAGGACACATTGACTGGTTGCCTCTCACACAACCAGACCAGGGCCTGGAGGAACTTCAACCAAAACCAAGGTACATGCCCTTCACTGGAATCAAACCTGTGACTCATTGGTGATGCTCTAACTGCTGAGCCAAACTGGCCAGGGCTTGTACATTTGCTTTTCTTTTTTTTTATTTTTTATTTTTTATCCTCACCCGAGGATATATTTTTCCATTTTTTTTGTACAGATACAGTGGGAGGGAGAGAGAGGAAGGGAGAGAGAGAGAGAAACATGACGTGAAGGGACACATCGAGTGGCTGCCACCCGCACGACCAACCAGGGCCGGGGACAAACTGCAACCGAGGTACGTGCCCTTAGCGCGAACCGAACTCGGGTCTCTCCGGACCGCAGGTGGACGCTCTAACCGCTGAGCCAAACTGGTCAGGGCTACATTTGCTTTTCAAATGAATCATTTATGTTGTTATCAACTATGTGAGAGCCTTCTAGTTGCTTTATGTTACTATATAGGATAAGGCCGCTCTGATTACTTTTTTCAGTTTTTGACACTCTCACCTATTTTCTCTGTCAAGCTCTCCATCTGTCCCATTTTATTTTTATTTTTGGTTAATCCTCACCAGAGGACATTTTTTTCATTGATTTTTACATAGAGTGGAAAGGAGGAGGGGAGAAAGGGAGGGAGGGAGACGGGGGGTGGGGTGGGGGAGGGAGGAGGAGGGGGAGAGAGAGAGAGAGAGAGAGAGAGAGAGAGAGAGAGAGACAGACATCGGTATGGGACAGACACATTGCTTGGTTGCCTCCCGCACCACCGACAAGGACAGGACAAGGGGACTGAACCTGCCAGCCAGGTACATGACCTTTACCGGGAATCACATCCTTCGGCCTTCGGGCCAACACCCTAAACAGACCTAACGGCCAGGGCTGCCGTATTTTGTATCGCCTCCTCACCCACAAACGAAATTCTACGAGGAGCCACGGTGCGGCGCGAGGGCGGGCTCCTATTCCTGCCACAAACATTGCCTCATCCTCCTGCGCAGGAAGCGAATGCTCAACCCAGATCTCGCGAGAGGAGACGGGCTTTTGAACGAAAACTTCTAACCTCGCCCTATGTCCCAAGCGTCACTCGACTGGCGCCTGCGCCCTCGACCCAAGGTCTTTCCTGCTCTCCTACTGGCTGTTTACACTTCAACTACACTCCTCGGCGGAAGCGCATGACTACCTAGCAGTCTACCCTTAGCGGAAGTTCGTCACGGCGCAGTTGCCTCCGTACAGCGGATGTGTGTCGCTGCTTAAGTGACGCTGGGAAGCGCTTGCAGCCTTCGCCGCTGCCTTCTGGTTGAAGCACTATGGAGGAAGAGAGAAGGAACAACAACAAACGGTGGTATTTTACTCGAGAACAGCTGGAAAATAGCCCATCCCGTCGCTTTGGCGTGGACCCAGATAAAGAACTTTCTTATCGTCAGCAGGCGGCCAATCTGCTCCAGGACATGGGACAACGTCTTAACGTGTATCCTTGCGGCCTAGGCCTTCGGCCTTGGAATCAGTCCCGCCTTGCTCTCGCGTCCAGGCCTCAGGTTCTGTCAGGGACGGTAGTGGCGAAAGGGTAGGCAGGGGCTGGATGTCTAGGTGGGAGAGACTATGATGCGGCAGGCTGAAGTTCAGTGTTCGCGCGAGGGTGGTGAGGCGGAGTGAATTTCCCGCTCGCGCACCGGTGCCACCAACCTTGCCGGGAATTCGTATGCTTCCCGGCATTATATTTTAACCGGCCCTTCTTAGGCCATTTTTGGTGTGTTCTGATCGCCTGTTCTGGTGACTTTGAGAGTCTGCTTTCCTGCTATGCCCTAGGGAGTCTGGTGGAGGTTTTAGCGTTGCGTTTTTAAGATAGAGTGCTAATGTGTATTAATTTTTCTCACATTTCAAGACGAGGTAATTTAGTGATTTTTTTTTCCCTCCAAGTATTATTTTGGCTTTTTATTTCATGTTTATTATCAGTACTGCAATACAAAACATTTAATCATGATTAATGGTGTGTGTACCAATAGTTTTTTTTCAAACATCAAGTACCAGTATTTTCTGGTGAATATCAATTTTCCCGAAAAAAAAAAAAATTTAACCAGCATAACACAATTTGAGTACATGGTGATACTGTCAGCATAATTCACACAAATTACAAAAATGACAGTACTTAAAAATTATACACATCATGTCACCATTTCATAAAACTTTTTTTTAAATTTTTACAAACTTTCCCAGTGTAAAAAGATTTCATGCCTGGCTGATGTGGCTCACTGGTTGAGCATCGACCCATCACCAATAGGTCACCGGTTTGATTCCCAGGTTGTGGGCCTGATCCCCAGTGGAGGCCTTGCAGGAGGCAGTCAATTGATGTTCTCTCTCATCAATGTTTCTATCTCTTTCCCTCTCCCTTCCTCTCTCTCTAAAATCAATAAAGAAAATATTTAAAAAAAAATTATAACATTAACTACAAAATACATTCTGGAAATAAAGGGAATTATTTTTTCAGTTTTAACATTACGATTTTTTTCCATTTAATAAAGTTTATTTTTCGAAATACATAGCTGGTGGGACCTGTTGTTACTGCATCTTCACCAGCAGCTGGGGCATCCCCACACTTGGTGTTACTGGTATAAATTACTTGAGCTTTGAAACTAGTTTATAATAAGTCCCTTACTAAGGAGCTCCTGAAGGGCTGCCCTGGCCAAAGAACTATGGATCTTCAGTCTCTTAGAGGCAACAGCTAGGGTTATAAGCTTATAGTTGGGAACTTCCTTACAGTTTATCATATGTTGCTCTGTTAAACAAGACCAGGTTATTGAACTTGTCCTGAACTTTGCCTTTGGACCACATCTTCTTTTGGCCTTGCCCCCAGATTTGTTCACTGAGTCTTTGTGTTTCTTGGACGATTTGCCAGTATCTTTCTTCTTGTCATCTTTGGGCGGCATAGTGAAACTTGAAGAGCAGCTGCTATAAGGCTGCTAAGATGTCAGGCATAAAGGAAGTTTTTTTTTTTTTTTTTTTTTTTTTTAATATTAAAAAGTATGGTGAGTGTGTTGAGAGGTGGAGAAAATGGAGCTTCCAGATGATGGATTCAACATGTCTGAAATACTTCAGTAATGTAGAAGAAAACTTGCAGAGCAGGAATATATTATAAATAAAAGTCTTTCAGCAAGATGAATAGATGAACAGTTCTTGCATCATTTTCACCCAGAGAAGAGAGGTCTTGAAGAATGCTTGTTTACAGAATCTTTTGTAAGTTAGAGTTGGCCACCCCAATGATTTGTCTTTTACCGGAACAGTATCATAAGAGTCCACGTACTTTTCTAAAAGCTGATCCACTCTGTCATTTAGATATCCAGTTTTCAGAATGTGTTCAACAGTGGCTACCCCATCTGCCTTAAGTGTGTCTGGGAGTCTCTGAAGCACAATTATGTTGCTGTTGTCTTTTAGTTGATTGAAATATTCTGTGTTCTTCAAGGCATTATCATGTTTGTTAAATACACGATTAATTCTTAAATCCTTTGAGTACCTCATTGTCATAAAAACACGTAAAGTTGGATACTCCTTTCACATTTGGATAATAAACATCAGCTTGATGGATAATCTTTAGTACATCACTGATACCAGCTGAAAATATGAACACAGGGATACTATATTGGAGCTTAACACAGAAATTTTCATATTTTTCCTTGAGCATATGTCAGATTCTGTCACAATTTATGTTTTGATAAGACCTGTTCAACAAGCAAACTAGTTTACTGTTTTATCATATAAGGGTACTACTATTCTATGATAAGCAGAATTAATTTCAATAGCATAATATTTTTTCTTTAGCTGAAGTAACTTTTTTCGACATTTATTTGAAACCAACTTATGGTTGTAAATGACATTATGACATGTTGGACATTCTTTTTCTTTTTTCTTTATTGATTTTAGAAAGAGGAAGGAAGGGAGAGGGAATGATAGAAACATCGATGAGAGAGAACATCGATTGGCCGCCTCCTGCATGCCCCCCACTGGGGATCTGGCCTACAACCTGGGCATGTGCCCTGACTGGCGACCTCTTGGTGCATGGGTTGATGCTCAACCACTGAGCTACACTGGCCGGGCAAGGACATTCCTTTTCTTTGTAGGAAATCTACTCAGTGTCAAATCAAAGTCTGTTAATCTGAAAAGTTGACAACTCTTCCTTTGGTAAGAACACAAATAATTTTTTCTACTCTTGTAGGGATCTTCATGTGAACTTTTCTGGAATTCTAGCATAATTTTCACATGTATAGCAGAATCTTAGTCATTTCTTGGTTATCCAGTCTTCCTTAAGGCACTCTTGAGTTCTTCTGTACTTGAGTTTATTTGTTTTAGAACAGCAGCATAAGTGGTAAGCAATATCCAGAGATGCAGGGCTTGATCATAGGTATCTCAATGATCTTGGTCATCTGTCCTGTTTTCCTCTTTAAGGTGAATATGTACTGGGTCAGCACCACCCCTGCCACCAGGGTCATGTGCTGGTGCTAGCTACCATGATGCACTCTTGCTACCTGGTCCGCGGATGGGGCTTTATGCACAGACAGGGCCAAAAAGAACAGATTGACTCAAGCATTTTTGTCAGAAACTACTCATTTTGTAGCAGAAAAAGCTAAAATAGTTTTAAAGTTCTTTTCACTCGGGAAGTGAAAAATTATCCTTGGGTGAACCTTTTGTTTAAATGTGTTGCTGAATGCCCTGGCTGGTTTGGCTCAGTGGTTAGAGTCTCGGCCAGAGGACTGATGAAGAGTCTCGGGTTCAATTCTTAGGGCATGAACCTGGATTGCAGGTCGATCCCTGGCCCCAGTCAGGGACGTGCAGGAGGCATCCTATTGATATGTCCCTCTTGCATCAATGTTTTTTTCCTTCCTCCCACCCTCCCTTCCACTTTCTCTAAAAATCAATGGAAAAATATCTTCGGGGGAGGATTAACAAAAATAAGTGAATAAATAAATGTGTTGCTGAATGTATAACGTTTGTGTTTTAAGTGCTCACTTCAAAAGAGGTGTTCTTTTTATATCCAGTATCCAGTTTGTTTCATAAGGATCCAGTCAGAGTACTGAGTTAAACCTTTTGTTTGAAATTCTGTTTCAATGTATCCTAGCCCTTTTCTTTTTGTATCTGTGTTGCTATTAAGGTTGTTGCCATTATGGGACTGCCTCATCTCTGTATACCCCACATTGTTTTCTGAGGTCTTCAGAAGTAAAGCATTTAAAAGATTTTCTTGCCCTGGCCGGTTTGGCTCAGCGGTTAGAGCGTCGGACTGCGGTCCGGAGAGACCCGGGTTCGGTTCCCGCTAAGGGCATGTACCTTGGTTGCAGTTTGTCCCCGGCCCTGGTTGGGTCGTGTGGGTGGCAACCACTCGATGTGTCGCTTTCATGTCGATGTTTCTCTCTCTCTCTCTCCCTCTCACTCTATCTGAACAAAATATCGAAAAATGTCCTCGGATGAGGATAAAAAAAAAAAAAAAAAAAAAAATAAAAGATTTTCTTTTCAGTGATTGAATATCAAATCATTCCACAGTGTTTTTGGTCCCAGGGAATCACCATATGAGAAGGCTTGATTGCCAGAAAGAACTGGAACCAAAAAGTTAATTGCTGGAGATTAGAAGGTGAGGCAATAATGGAGACATATCTCCAGGACCAGGTCAGGGAGGTTGTTGTAAATCACGTGAAGAGAGATCCTAAGCTAATGAATCACCATTGCAGGATTTTCAGTAGGCAAGCGATGGGTTTAGGTCTTATATAGTTTTATTTATATTCCTTATTGATTCACACATGCTGAGACATTGTTTACTTAGCAAATTTATAGTGAATATCCATTATGTTTAAGGTGTGCTAAATGTCAGTTGGTAGTTAATTAGTGGAGAGGTAAGTATGATTTTCATTTGGGAGCATCTACTGTGCTCAGCTTGCATGGTCATTTTGGGAGGATATAGAGGTGGTATTTTTGGGAATTGTACTGCCTGCCTGTTTTGGGGCCTTAACTTGAACATTTTAGCTCACAATTGACCATCAACACTGCTATCGTATACATGCATCGATTCTACATGATTCAGTCCTTTACACAGTTCCATCGAAATGTAAGTATAATTTTTTCATATGGTGTAATCCTTTTACGATTAATTTCAACTTTGTATTTCTTTTGTGGTTGATCTTTGCTGCTGAACTGGGATTTGAAGTTTAGAATTTAGTATTTGTCATTTTCATTATGTGCCATACTACTGTATCTAGCCTTCCAAATTTCCTATGAAGGGTTTAGTTAGTTTGGTAGATTGACTGTATCCTTAGAGAAGATGGAATCTTTGGTAAAGAAATAGATTATTGAACACTTAATATTGGGGGTGGGAGAGTAGAATTAAAGGGGAAACTATGCTTGCTTTAAAGTGTAATTTAAAAAAAATTTTTTTTTTAATTTTAAAGAGAGAGGGAGGGAGCGAGAATCATCCATTGGCTGCCTCCTGCATGTCCCCTACTGGCAGTCAAGCCCCAAACTGTGGCATGTGCCCTGACCTGGGATCAAACTGGCTACCTTCTGGTGCATGAGACGGTGCTTAACCAACTGAATCACCCGGCCAGGGCTGTTTTTTTTTTTGTTTTTGTTTTTTTTCCCCTCTTTATTGGTTTTAGAGAGAGAGGAAATATCAATGAGAGAGAACATTGATTGGCTGCCTTCTGCATGCCCACCACTGAGGATCAGACCCACAACCTGGACATATTCAATATCTCTCAATTGTAGGTAAGACTATACTTGTTTAGCTCAGCTGGTGTGGCTCAGAGGCTTGAGAGTCGTCCCATGGACTGAGATGCCGGTTCAATTTTCAGTCACGGTACCTGGGTTGTGGGCTCAATCCGCAGTAGAGGGCATGCTGGAGGCAGCCAATCAATGTTTCTCTCTCACTTTGATGTTTATAGCTCTCTCTCTAAAAAATCAATAAAAACATTTTTTTAAAAAAAGACTAGACTTGGGGAGTGGGAGGGGGGAATCAGTGGGGGAAAAAAGGAGAATCATCTGTAACAAAAATTAATCAATAAAAAAAATAAAAATAAAAAAGACTAGACTTGCTTAATAAACTCACAGGTGATAGGGCTAAACTTGATGAACATTTCAAATGGATTTGTGAGTTAAATAAATATTCCTTTCTTTTTTTTAAAGGTTATGTTTTGAGGAAAAGTGTTTCAGACTTAGGATGATGACTTTTTAGCTTTTTCCTCCCTAATGCCATAGGATGAGGATCTGTGAAGCCAGATACTGTTCTTATAATGTAAAATATTGGTTGGACTCAGTATTGGGAGTAATTATACAGGAAACCCTTTGGATTTGTAGATTAAGTATTCCCAGTGCTTGTTGATTATCCAGTCAGCTTGGCTTTTTCCTATTCTTAGCCTCCTTACCTCCAGCCCTGCTCTACCTCTGATGGCAAGGAGCACACCCTTATTAAGAGAGGGAGAAGCATTTAATGAGTTCTAGAATAGAAAGTAGTGGATAAAGAACAAAGTTTGAAGAGGAAATCCATAGCTGTTTTGCCATTTCTGAAAGTTTTCTACATTTCTTCCCTTGTATTATGGTACAGATTTTTTCTTTTAACATTTAATGAAATATAATTTTCATAACATACAATCCACCCATTTACAGTACACAATATGATGATTTTTGGTATATTCACAGATTAATGCAGTCATCACTGCAATAAATTTTAGAACATTTCATCACCTCAAAAGGAAACCCTGTGCCCCTTATGTCTTACCCCCATTGCCCCTATCTCACCAGCCCTAGGCTATACTCTATCTCTGTAGATTTCCCAGTTCTGGACAGTTCATATAAATAAAATTATTCAATATGTCACCTTTTTCTCTGGCTTCCTTTGTGTCGACCAATGGTTGTTGGTGCCAAATCAGTGCCAATAGGATTCAATTTGGGGTACAGCGAAGAATGAAACTATTCAATGTTATTATAGTAAGATTTGAAATCCAGAGTAAAATACATCTCAAGTCAGTTTGTTCACTAAATTATCTTTCCTATTTCCCATATATTAAGCTTAGCAAGCATAGAGACACACTTTTCTGCGTATCCTTCAAAGAAACTTCAGTAAACTTGTTGAATGAATGAATGGTAATTATCCATTGTAGAGAGATCCTTTGGGGTGTTGCGACCTTTTTCAAATCCAGTGACTTTTAATTTGGGATTGTTGATCCTCTCTGACCTGTTTGCTAAGTGGTTAGAGCATCACCCTGCGGACCAAAGAGTCATGGGTTCAGTTCCAGTCAAGGGCATGCACCTCAATTGTGTTTCATCCTGGCCCTGGTTGAGGTCGTGCAGGAGGCAGCCACTCGATGTGTCCCTTTCACGTCGATGTTTCTCTCTGTCTCTCTCTTTCTTTCCCTCCCACTTTGAACAAAAATGGAAAAATGTCATTGGCTGAGGATTAAAAGAAGAAGAAGAAGAAGAAAGAATAAAGGAGAAATGATTTCCACATAACCCACCATTCCGAGATAATCCTGTTAACATTTTGGAGTATATCTCAGAATTTTTTTCTCTGCATGCAAATATATATACGTATTTAGTGAAACCCTATTAGTTTTCCAAATCTATTTCTTTTTTTCCTGTATTCCTATTGCTAGTTCCTACTCTAAATTTTATTTCCATTGTTTGTGTTACTAAATCTTTTACTTTTTAAAAAGTTAACTTTAAATTTATCCTATTCTTTCCTTCTTTCAGTCCCACTTAACACCAGATTGATCTTTCTAAATATTTCTTAAACTCTAGATACGTTTCTAAAATTTTTAATGTCACTCATTAAAAATCTTATCTGTCCCACAAATTCATGAAGATTGAAATCATATCAGGCATTTAGTTGGATCACAGTGGAATGAAACTAGAAATCAACTACAAAAAAAAAAAAAAAAAAAATTAAAACCCTCTAACACATGGAGGCTAAATAGCATGTTATTAAACAATGAATGGTTTACCAATGAGAAAACTTCCAAGCTCTTTTTATGAGGCCAGCATTATCCTAACTTCAAAAGCAGATAAAGACACTACAAAGAAAGAAAATTACAGACAAATATTCTTATTGAACATAAATGCTAAAATCCTAAACAAAATATTAGCAAATCGGATCCAGCAATACATTTAAAAGATCATACACCATGACCAAATGGGATTTATTCTTGGGCTGCAAGGTAGGTACAATATTTGCAAATCAATAGATGTGATGCATCACATAAATAAAATGGTGGATAAAAATCACATGATCATATCAATAGACATAGAAAAAGCATTAGACAAAATCCAGCATCCATTTATGACATAAACTCTAAGCAAAGTGGGAATAGAAGTACCAAACCTCAATAAAACAAAGGCCACATATGACAAACCTACAGTCGACATCATACGCAGTGGGCAAAAGCTAAAAGCATTTCCCTAAAGATCAGGAACAAGACAGACATGTCTGCTTTCAATGCTCTTACTCAATACAGTACTGGGAGTTCTAGCCACCACTATCAGACAAGAATAAAAAATAAAAGGCATCCATATTGGAAAGGAGGAAGTAAAACTGTCATTTTCAGATGACATGATATTGCACATAGAAAAACCGTAAAGACTGTATGTACCATAAAACTGCTAGATTTAATAAATGAATTTGGCAAAGTAGCAGGATACAAATTTAACATCCAGAAATCGATAGCATTTTTATATACTAATAATGAGCTCTCAGAATGAGAAATTTAAAAAAAATCCCATTTACCATTGCAAAAAAAAAAAAAAAAAAAGATACTTGGGAATAAATGTAATCAAGGAGGCAAAAGACCTATAGCCGGAAAACTGTAGGACATTTAAAAAAGAAATAGAAGAAGATACAAACAAGTGGAAGCACACACTATGTTCATGGATTGGAAGATTTAACATCATTAAAATGTTCATACTACCCAAAGCAATCTACAGATTCAATGCAATCACATTAAAATACCAATGGAATATTTCACAGATCTAGAACAAATATCCCCAAAATTTATATGGAACCAAAAAAGACCCTGAGTACCCTCAGCAATCTTGAGAAAGAAGAACAGTGTAGGAGGGATCACAATACTGGGTATCAAACTATACTACAAAGCCATTGTAATCAAAACAGCCTGGTACTGCCCTGGCTAATGTAGCCCAGTTGGTTGAGCATCATTCCAAGAACCAAAGGGTTACTGGTTTGATTTCCAGTCAGAACACATGCCCAGGTTGTGGGTTTGATTCCCAGTCAGGGTGCTTATAGGAGGCAACCAATCGATGTTTCTCTCTCAAATCAATGTTTTTCTCCCCCTCTCCCTCCCCCTCTCTCTCTGAAAAAAAATGCATATTTAAAAACAACCTGGTACTAGCACAAGAACAGTCAGTCATATAGACTAATGGAACAGAACAGAGACCCCAGAAATGGACCCACACCATTATGGTAATTAACATTTGACAAAGGAGGCAAGGGCATACAATGGAATGAAGATAGTCTCTTCAATAAATGGTGCTGGGAAAATTGGATGGGTACATGCAAAAAAATGAAACTAGACCACCAACTTACACCATACACAAGAATAAACTCAAAATGGATAAAAGACTTAAATGTGAGTTGCAAAACCGTAAAAATTATAGAAGGAAACATAGGCAATAAAATCTCGGACATCTCATGTAGCAGTATTTTTGCCGATACATCTAGGGCAAGAGAAACAAAGGAAAAAATAAGTGGGACTACATCAAAATGAAAAGGTTCTGTGCAGCGAAAGAAACCACCAACAAAATTAAAAGGGGACCCATTGTATTGGAAAACATGTTCACTGATGATACATACATCTGATAAGGGGTTAATTTCTAAAATATACAAAGAATGCATACAATTCAACATCAGGAAGACAAACAATCCAATTAGAAAATGGGCAAAGGACCTGAATAGACACTTCTGCAGAGAGGACATACAGATGGCCAATAGACATGAAAAAATGCTCATCGTCATTAATTCTAATTATCAGAGAGATTCAAATTGAAACTGCAATGTATCACCTCATAGCTGCCAGAATGGTACCATCAATAAATCAACAAGTGCTGCCCGGCTGGTGTGGCTCAGTGGTTGAGCGTCAACCCATGCATCAAGAGGTTGCCAGTTTGATTCCTGGTCAGGGCACATGACCAAGTTATGGGCCCAGTCCCCAGTGGGGGCATGCAGGAGGCGGCCAATCTATGTTCTCTCTCATCGATGTTTCTATCTCTCCTCCCTTCTTCTCTCTCTAAAATCAATAAAATCAATCAATAAAGTGCTAGCGAGGCTGGTACACTACTGGGGGGAATGTAGACTGGTACAGCCACTGTGGAAAAAAGTATGGTTTTCTCAAAAAATTAAAAATGGAACTGCCATTTGACCCAGCAGTCCCCCTTCTGGGAATATATCCTAAGAATCCCGAAACTCCAATCAGAAAGAATATATGTATGCCTATGTTAATGGCAGCACTATTTACAATAGCTAAGATTTGGAAACAACCCAAGTGCACCATTCATAGATGAGTGGATAAAAAAAGCCATGGTACATTTACACAATGGAATACTATGCAGCTGTATAAATGAAGGATTTCTTAGCCTTGTGACAGTCTGGATGGACCTGGAGATTATTATGCTAAGTGAAATAAGCCAGTTAGAGAAAGAGAAACTATCATATGATCTCACTTATATGTGGAATCTGATGAACAAAATAAACTGACGAACAAAATAGGTCTAGAGGCATGGATCTATAGAACAGAGTGACAGATATCAGAGGGAGGGTGGGAGGGATGCGAAGAGATTAACCAAAGAACATATATGCATAGCTCATGGACACGGACGGTAGTGTAGTGAAGGCCTGAAGTGGGGTGGGGGCTGGGTGGAGGGGACAAAGAGGGGAGAAATGGGGTACATGTGTAATACTGTCAACAATTAAAAATATTTTGGCCCTGGCCAGTTTGGCTCAGCGGTTAGAGCGTCGGCCTGCGGTCCTGAGAGACCCGGGTTCAGTTCCCGCTAGGGGCGCGTACCTCGGTTGCAGTTTGTCCCTGGCCCTGGTCGGTTGTGCGGGTGGCAACCGCTCGATGTGTCCCTTTCACGTCAATGTTTCTCTCTCTCTCTCTGTTCCTCTCTCTCCCTCCCACTCTACCTGAACAAAATGGAAAAATGTCCTCGGGTGAGGATAAAAAAAAAAAAAATATATATATATATATATATATATATTTTGTGTGCTACATTCCATTATCTGTGTTATTTAACTTACTCAGTTTAGTGTTCAAAATGTGCTTCATTTTCCTCTGGCTCATACCTTATCCTAAGCTCTATGAATGTGTTTGTAGCAAGCTTCATATACAACTGCAATAAATATTAAGGAAGATAATTGTTACTATGAATTGAATTGTGGAGAAAAATCTGCTCTATCAAAATATAACAGCAGTAGTTCCCTTTTTAGGTGGGTTTTTGCTTTCAGTGGTATCAGTGCTTTGGTCAGCCACCTGTGGTCAAAAATATTAAATTGAAATTCCTGAAATAAACAAGTGATTAAGTTTTAAATTCCCTGCTGTTCTGAGCAACATGATGAATCTTCTGCAGTCCTGCCTTAGTAGACATCTCAATTATGAGAGAGAGAGAGAGACCACATTCATATAACTTTTATTACTGTATATTATGTTATTGTTGTTAATCTCTTACTGTGCCTAATTTAGGTATGTATGTATAGAGAAAAACATAGTCTATGTAAGATTTGGTACTATTCAAAGTTGCAGGCATCCATTGGAAGTTTTGGAAATTATCCCCCAAGTATAATGGGGGATTTCTGTATTAGAATGCATGTCAGTTCTGTTCATTAAAGTTAAAAATATATTTCAAATCTATAAAATTTCTTTTATTCCTGGTGAATTCTAGCTCTTACCATTGCCATCTCTGATTCATTATAATATTCTTAAGATTCAAGAGAAATTCTACTTCCTGAGGTTCCCAGATCACCAGGGTACATGTATATCATATTGCTCTAATCTCTTTTATTGTTTAGTGTCTGAGTTTGATACCTACTTGTGTCTGGCTTGAATTTTTTTCCCCTCTTAAGTGCCTTCCATGTATAACCTCTTGAATGTACTGCTATACTTTGAATTCCTTTGTTTTTTGAAAAAGATTTATGCTCCTATATATAAGGATACTTAAGAATATTCTCATACAGTAAAATTCCTCCTTTTAAAATGTACAGTTTACTGGTTTTTAGTATATTCACAGAGTTGTGCCACCACCACCAGGATCTAATTCCAGAACATTTAGATTACTCCAGAAAAAGAAACTCCTCACACTCTAGCAGTCACTCTAATTCCCTTCTCCTCCTAGCCCTCGCAACCACTAATCTACCTTCTTTTGCCTGTATGGATTTCCCTTTTCTGGACATTTCAATTTACTACTTTAAAAAAAGTATGTAGTGTTTTGATGCAAACTTAATAAAGAATCTGATTTTAAATAGAAAGCTGTCTATTTACATTTAGTGGCTTCTTGAATAGGTAGCTTTTAATGAGATTTTGTTGTAGGATCAGTTTTTGGAAGTAGATGTGGATTAATGGACAGGAGAGGGGAGGACATTTTTAAGTAAAGGAAAAAGCATGAATAAGGTAGTAAAGTTGAGGTAAACAAAGAACTTGGTTTAAGGCTTAGTTCTTTCTTAGATCTGTACCTTTATCTGGAAATAAACAAATAATAAATATGATTTGTTTTTTCCCCATTCAGTCTGTGGCTCCAGCGGCCTTATTTCTAGCAGCTAAAGTAGAAGAACAGCCCAAAAAATTGGAACATGTCATCAAGGTAGCACATACTTGTCTTCATCCACAGGAATCACTTCCCGATACTAGAAGTGAGGTAAGGAGTTAATTACACGTATCTTTTTTTCTTAAGTTTAATTATGATTTGTTGAAGGCTAAATGGGGGCTAGTAAAGGAACCTTTTAGTGTCTGTTTTTTCCTTAACAAAAACATCGTAGAAATTTTATGCAAAGGTAAATCGTATTCATTGTAGTAAAATTGGAAAATGCAGAAAAACAAAGAAGAAAATATATCACCTAGATACAATTTGGATCACAGATCTATAAGTGGACCATTATTATTTACAGCCCTTTTTCTATGAATAGCTGTACATGTATATATGTTGTGTTTTTTTCACTTACTATATCCCAAATATTTTCCCATTTTATTAATTTTTCTATTTGCTTTAAATGTGGAGATAGTATTTCATCCTAAACATGTATATATATTTTAACCATTTGCTCTTTCTAAGAGAACTTTTGAAGAAATTACAAAAGTTATATATGTTCATTGTAAGAGAATCCAAACACTTAGGAATCATTTAAAGTAAAAATTAAAGCATCTCCCTATCTCCTCCAAGGATACTGCTGATTACATTCTAGTGTACTATATTCTTTCAGACTTTTTTATTTTAAGAGAGACGGAGGTAGAGAGAGAGACAAATGTTGATATGAGAGAGAAACATTGGTTGCCTCTCAACCAGGGATTGAACCCAAATCCTAGGTATTTGTCCTGACCAGGAATCGAACCTGCAACCTTTTGGTATATGAGATGACGCTCCAACCAACTGAGCCACCTTGCCAGGGCATATTCTTTTAGACTTTTATCCTATGCATATACATATAGCTTATTTTTTCTACTGTCCTTCCTTGACTTTTTTAAGGAAGGGAACATCTCTCCTGGCTTTATAAGTCAGTGATTGGGGAGTGGTGAGTATTGGTAAATTGATATGTCTGACATTTGTAAGTGCTTGCAGAAAAATTATGGATTATTGTTACTATATTATTTAAGTTTCTTACAGTGGATGCATGAGTCACCCTTTATCAAACAGATAAATGGGATTGTGTATTCTGCTCATATTGGAGAAAGTGGGTTTTTTGGGGGGGATATTTATTTTGTGTGTGTGTGTGTGGTGATAATAGCCCTTAATGATGTGAATTAAGTGTTCTGCATGGCAGAGTCTTGACATCATTTTCTCTTTGGGCTATATCAGTAGCTCTTGTTGAAAAGAGTTATTGCTCTGCACTTTTATTTAGGTTTGAGACTAATTGCTAAATGTCATTGGTCTATAGAATTGACCAAATAAGAAAATTTTATTTTAACAAAATAAAACAAAAAAGCCCTGGCCAGTGTGGCTAAGTTGGTTGGGCATCATCCCATGCACCCAAGAGTTGCTGGTTCAATTCCCAGTCAGAGTGCATGCCCGGGTTGTGGGCTTTATCCCTGGTGGGGGACATGCAGGGGGTGTCAAGTTGATGTTGAACTCTCACATTGATGTTTCTCTCTTCTCCCTTCCTCTCTAGAAATCAGTAAACTGGGTCTCTTCTTTGTGAGGTGATTAGGGGAAGATATTTCCTTCAATATATGGAACAGAGAACTAGCATAGTTTAAATCCTTATTGGATATATTAAAAATCATAAAGTTGCCTGGCCGGTGTGGTTCATTGAGTTGAATGATGTCTCATGCATGGACTGAGAGGTCCTGGTTTGATTCCTGGTTGGGGCACATACCTGGGTTGCGGGGGCAACCCAGTAGGGGGCAACCCAGTAGGGGGCAGCTGATTGATGTTTCTCTCTCATAATGATGTTTCTCTCTCTCCTTTTCTCTCTAAAAAAATCAATTAAGCCCTGGCCAGTTTGGCTCAGCAGAGCGTCGGCCTGCGGTCCAGAGAGACCCAGGTTTGGTTCCCGCTAAGGGCATGTACCTCGGTTGCGGTTTGTCCCGAGCCCTGATTGGGTTGTGTGGGTGGCAGCCACTCGATGTGTCCCTTTCACGTTGATGTTTCTCTCTCTCTTTCTCTTCCTTTCTCTCCCTCCCACTCTATCTGAACAAAAAATGGAAAAATGTCCTTAGGTGAGGATAAAAAAAAAAAAAATCAATTAAAAAAATATTTTAAAAAATTATAAAGTTGCCCAGCCAGTGTGGCTTAGTGGTTGAGCATTGACCCATGCACCAAGAGGTCGCCGGTTTGATTCCTGTTCAGGGCACATGCCCAGGTTGTGGACCCAATCCCCAGTTGGGGAGGCGTTATGCAGAAGGTGGCTAATCGATATTCTCTCTCATTGATGTTTCTCTTTCCCTCTTCCTTCCTCTCTAAAATTAACAAAGAAAAAAATTAAATTAAAAAAATTATAGTTAAGTGGAAAGTTAACTCCAACATAAGTCTCTTAACTCCTAGAGTTCTAGACCAGTGCTCTCCAGAGGAAATATACGGGGAGTCATGTGTAATTTAAAATTTTTTTAAAGTAAAATTTTAAAATATTTAATATATTTTACTTAATCATAAATATTATTTCAGCATATAATCAATATTAAAACATTAGTGAGGTAGTTTACATAATTATCATTTGTTCCTTTTTCTTTGAACTCTCCTGTGAATTTTTAGAAATCTAGCATTACCTCAAATGGGACGTTTTAACAGGAGTCAAATGTTTGAGATTGCCTATAGGAAGGCCCTGCAAATAATATTTTGATGATATTGCAGAAGATATATTTTTAATTTTCTTGTAGCTATATCAAATGAACTTTAAAACCTAAAATGTCAGTCTGAAAATGAACCATATCTCAAGTGTTTTTCTCAAGTAGCTATTTATGAATAAAGTATTTTCTCTCAGTATACCACCTTTATTATTATTTTTTTTTATCCTCACCCGAGGACATTTTTTGGTTCAGATAGAGTGGGAGGGAGGGGGAGAGAGAGAGAAACCATCGACGTGAAAGGGACGCATTGAGTGGCTGCCACCCGCATGACCCAACCAGGGCTGGGGACAAACTGCAACTGAGGTACGTGCCCTTAGTGGGAACCGAACCCAGGTCTCTCTGGACCGCAGACTAACGCTCTAACCGCTGAGCCGAACCGGGCAGGGCCTTTTTTTTTTTTTTTAAAGGCAAATCTATACTATATAGGGATAAAGATTAATTTCAGTTCCTATTCTACCTCATAACTTCACCCCTGTCTTTTTGTGGCTTTGGTTTCTCTGGGAGTGGAAATTAGAATTGTTTACATACTTGATATATATTTTAAAATGTTTCCACTGATTTTTTTTTTTTTAAAGGGAGAGAGAGATAGAAACATTGATGAGAGAGAAATATCAATCGGCTGCCTTCTGCACGCCCCCTTCTGGGGATTGATCCTGAAACCCAGGCATGTACCCTGACTGGCGATCATACTGGGACCTCTCAGTCCATGGGATGATGCTCATTCCACTGAGCCATACCAGCCAGCCATACTTTATATAATTGTACCTTCTGTGTCTTCTCACTTGCAGGCTTACTTGCAACAAGTTCAAGATCTAGTGATATTAGAAAGCATAATTCTGCAGACATTAGGTAAGTTTATTATCAATATGATATGATTTTTAAATTTGCAAAATAGGAAACAGGATGAAAATCTCTTGGAAAGATTTTGCAAATTTAGAGGTTGTAGAGACCCATTTACCCTGGCCTATATGGGAGAAAGAACGAAGTTACAGCTGACCTTTGAAATAAGCAGTTAGTAGTCTTTTTTTTTTTTTTTTTTTTTAAATTCCCATTCTGGGATTCATGGTTTGCTTTTTAAGGTTTGGCAGTTTTATTTATTTATTTTTTATCCTTACCCGAGGACATTTTTCCATTTTTTGTTCAGGTAGAGTGGGAGGGAGAGAGAGGAACAGAGAGAGAGAGAGAAACATCAATGTGAAAGGGACACATTGTGTGGTTGCCAACTGCATGACCAACCAGGGCTGGGGAAAAACTGCAACCGAGGTACGCGTCCCTAGCGGGAACCGAACCCGGGTCTCTCTGGACCGCAGGCTGATGCTCTAACTGCTGAGCCAAACCGGCCAGGGCAGGTTTGGCAGTTTTAAATTTTCTGATAACTAATGGCAGAAACTAAAGGCTATTTATGGTCTGTCATTATTCTTAGATAACAACATTTGTTTTTAAATTGGTAATCAGAGTTTAGAACAGCAGAGTGTAAGTAGAAGAATTCAAGCTACACAGTAAGTCCTCACTTCATTGATAGATTCTTGGAAACTGGCTTTAAGTGAAATGATATATAACAAAACTAATTTTACCATAGGCTAATTGATATAAATAAGAGTTAAACTCCTATGGCATATTTTTGGTCACAAAAACATCACCAGACTTGTAAATAAAGATCCAAAATACTTCTAATATTACAAATTGAGCTATACATGCATTTAAGAAAGATTAATAAAAACAAGCAAGGTAACGATTTTCCAACCTGCATATTTCAGCCCAGGGTTGTGGATGGCTGGAAAACTATTCCAGCAGGTCAGGGCACAAGGCAGGAACCCACCCTGACAGGACACCCTTTTGTGCAGGGTGTATTCATTCCCACACTCACTCAGACTGGGACAATTTAGGCACACCAATTCAACTAATGTGTACATCTTGGGATTTAGGAGGGAACTGGAGTACCTGGAGAAAACCAACACAGACATGGGGAGAATGTGCAAACTCCACACAGACAGTGGCCCCACCTGGAAATCAGTTTTTATTTTTTGGTCTTGTCAATGTTATAATGAAATGACATTGAACGAAATGAAGTTATTTGAGGATCTACTGTATATATAGCAGTTCATGGGCAATCTTGATGATGTTCTGTTATTTTCTATTATTATTTTCATCAGAGAGACTGCCTTTATAAAGCTTATTAGCATATATGGAAAATAAATATATTTTTTTCTAGTTCTTTTGGCCTATCATTTTTCTCAAGTGGAAGATTTTATGAGCTGTGTTGAATAGTTACTGATAGAGCTGTATTTTATTGCATACACACACACACACACACACACGAGTTCTTCAAAATTTATCATTGAAGTTAATTTCTGCTAATTAACTTTTTACTTTAAATTATCTTCATTGTAACCATATTTTAGGGGACAGTGGTATTTTTCTGGTGGAATAAATTTTTATTAATATATTAATGTGGAAACCAGTAAGATCTAGTTTGCAAGAATCAGTTATCCTTTTAGAATAATTTATATAATGTAAATTTCTCAATAGAATTTTTTTACCTAGAAATTTCAATTACATATATAAAAAGAGAAACTCAAAAATTTTTAATAGACACACTGATCCTCAAGTAATTTTAGTGAAGACCATTTGGGGTTGGATAAAATGATGAGTATCTATTGTAATTAAGATGTTATGGAGTGGAGCAAAACTGAAGTAAAAGAAGAATAAGTTTTTAAATGTTTTCTCAAGGTTAAGTGTTACAAGATAGTAATCACTAGGTTAAAACTGCTCCTTCCAATCATATATTACTACATTCTGTTGTCCCTAAAATGTGTTTTGTGTTCAGAGGTTATTGGTTTTCAGGGGTCTGCATTACCTTTATCTTAGTGTTATCTTCTAGCTCAAAGTATTATAAGCAGCTTTGGAGATCATTTGTCTTAGAAAAGAGCATGCTGCATACTTTGTGTTACTTAGCCTCTGAACAATACTTTTGGGGTAGGAAAATGAGGGAGGCCTTTAATGATGACTCAGATCAAAGATGTATAAAATGTCTTGACTACTTAGCTTTTTAACCAGTTACTTTTTTTTTAGGCTTTGAACTAACAATTGATCACCCACATACACATGTGGTAAAGTGTACTCAACTTGTTCGAGGTAAGGAATCCCAGCTTGAGACGGTGCTCTTAAATTGTTTTACCATTTATAGCAGTGGTTCTCAACCTTCCTAATGCTGTGACCCTTTAATACAGTTCCTCGTGTTGTGGTGATCCCCAACCATAAAATTATTTTTGTTGCTACTTCATAACTGTAATTTCACTACTGTTATGTCTTAGGCGACCCCTGTGAAAGGGTCGTTTGACCCCCAAAGTGGTCGCGACCCACAGGTTGAGAACTGCTGATTTAGAGTTTAAGATTGTTGTGGACAAATATATAATACAGATACTAACTAATGTTTTTAGGTGATCTCCATTTAAAGAGAGTTAGTCTCTTGTAGATGTTTGTCAAAGGTGAGAGCAGATTTTGAAAAGTCACCAAATCATAAGCAACTAACACCAACTTTAAGGATGTCTTTGGAGTAAACTATCTTTTCTTTTAATCCTCACCTGAGGATATTTTTCCATTGATTTTTTTTTTTTTTTTAGATAGAGTGGGAGGGAGGGGCAGAGAGAGAACATCTGTGTGAGAGACATACCGATTGGTTACCTCCTGCATGACTCTGACAGGGCCAGGGATCGAACCGGCAGCTGAGGTATGTGCTCTTGACCAGGAAATTGAACCCGAAATTTGGTTTGCAGGCCAATGCTCTAACCACTGGGCAAAACCAGCCAGAGCAGAGTGTGGACTGTCTTAATTTGATTCTAGGGTTGATTATCCTAGACATTCTTTTTTAAAAAATATGTTTATTTATTTTTTAGAGAGAGAGAAAAATTGATATGAGAGAGAGAAAAAAAATTGATCAGCTGCCTCCTGCACACCTCCACCGGGGATTGAGCCAGTAAACCAGGCAAACCAGGCATGTGCCCAGACCGGGAATTGAACTAGAACCTCTCAGTCCATGATATGATGCTCAATCTACTGAGCCACATCTGCCAGGAAGAACTTTCTGTTTATTTTAACTTAACTTTAGTACCTATATTTGTATGGAACTTAGTTTCTCTTACTCAGGTTAAATAGTAGCATCAAGAATATCAACACATCGTCGTGCATTTCAGTACCTTTTGTAGACCTAACTGATAATTGGCCTTATTTTGAATTTTGCTTTTGTGTGTTTTGTCAGAAAATTCCAAAAGTTTTTCCTGAGTTTTTAGATTTTGAAAGCATTAAATGGTTTAAATGAGCAAGGATAGACTTAAACAGAGATGAATATATTCTAATATTTAATCTAAGGAAGGTTAAAATTTGCTTTGTCATCCAGAGCAGTTAGTTTTAGAAGAAGGAACTTTCTTTTGGTAATTTATTAAATAATTTGTTATTTGATTATTTCAGGATTAAATCACAGATTTAATTACAAATTAAATTACTCAATTTAAAACATTTTTTAAAAGCAAAAATCACTTTTCCCAAACATAACAAGCTCTTTTGGATTCTAATCTTGCCTCCAAATTAGTTCATCCCCTAGTTTAGTATTTCTTAGTGAACCCTTGCATCAGAATCTGGGTTACTTGTTAAAAATGCTTGTGTCTGTCTCCAAACATACTGAGTCAAACGGTAAGGAGGATGCCCCAGGAATTGCATTTTAAACAGATAGTTGGTGTACAGAATAAAATTTGAGTCCCTAGGTCTGGAAGCAGTCCAGTTATTTATAATGAAATACTGTTAATCTGTTTTTGGTAGAATGCAAACTTTAGGTGGTCAGGGTCCATGTTCGCTTCATTTACTACTATATTCTCTATCTTGCAAATATTAAATGCTTGCTAACTTATTGTTGAGAATAAACGGAACTAATAATTTTTTTCCTCTTTTCTACCTTTTTTTTTAGCAAGCAAGGACTTAGCACAGACTTCTTACTTCATGGCAACCAACAGGTTTATATTTTAATATTTTTCCTTTATATTTTTGGGATAAGACTTTACTTGGGTTGGGATTGTCACTTTGAAAGGTGCATATGGAAAGATGTCAGGTCTGGCCCTTAGTAAACTAGAACCCAAAGACCCAGGCATGGATCTCTGATTCATTGTGTTATAGACAATTCTTGGTAAATGTTGGATTTTATGCTCTTTTCATGTTGGGCTTTACATTTCCATGGTGCTTTTTTAATTTAATAAGGTGATGTAATTATTTACTACTGGTTAATAACCTTCTCGATTCTGTATGTTACTTAGCTTTAAAATATCCAACAGCATAGTTCTGAAAGTTGGTTAACTTGGAATTCATTGACAGTGACTAAAAATCTGATTTGAAGGATTCTACAATATTTAGGATATTTAAAAAGACACTTTGTTCTTCCCATACTCCCAGATAAATAGGTATGCATATGTATAAAGAGTTGTAATACTTTTTCTTCTCTTTTTAAAGAAAAAAAATTAATACATAACATGTACTACAAAATGACTTACTTATTCTCATCACCAATCTATTGGTTGTTCATGGAAACCAAACATATTCCTAATGACTGTCAGGGCTAAGAAGTTCATTTTAATAGACTGATAGGAGAAATTTATAAAATATTCCATCAGTCAAGCATATTCACACTTGAGAGAGTGACTATCTATTATTATTTTAAATAGAACAGACCTATGATTGGCAAGAAACAAGATACCATAGATATTTGATTTAGGGATTATACATATCAAAAATGTTAACATTTTCCTTAAGTTCTGAGTGTATTCTCAGAATAATTGATCCTTGTAAAAAACTGAGTACCCACTTTGTTTCAGTTTTTTGTTTTGGTGTTTTATTGTTTTTGTGTGTGTGGGGGTGTGTGTGTGTTTTTGATCCATCAGTTATGTGGATTGAATGATGGGTGGTCAGAAATTTTATAAATGTTACCTGAGCAAGTGGGTTAATAGAAAATAATGTTTAGTGCTGGATTAGAGCACTGGATATTTCTTACCTTTCTTGCTTGCCAGTGTTTTTTACTTTTTTTTTTTTTTTTTTTTCTAAATAATGGAGAGTTTTAACTTTGGGTTCAGAATTGAGAGCTCATGATACTCTCTTGTTTCCTTCCCTCTGATGTCAGCCTGCATTTGACCACATTTAGCCTGCAGTACACACCTCCTGTAGTGGCCTGTGTCTGCATTCATCTGGCTTGCAAGTGGTCCAACTGGGAGATCCCAGTCTCAACTGATGGGAAGCACTGGTGGGAGTATGTTGACGGCACTGTGACCTTGGAACTTTTAGATGGTAAGTTTTAGAGTAAGGGTCCTTGAAAAGCACTTGATCTTGATCTGTCACATATCTGGCCAAAGGTGACTTGATTCAGATGAAAATAGTTAGTTGAGGTTATTCTTGTTTCATTACTTGTCTCTCTGAGTTTTTCTTAAGTGTTCTATTTCATTTGTAGAACTGACACATGAATTTCTACAGATTCTGGAGAAAACCCCCAACAGGCTCAAACGAATTCGGAATTGGAGGGTAAGAATTATTGCTGTCAGCTTATAGAACAAACCATTTTCTTTTTTTGACTGCACCAGAACTGGATATGTACCCTAGATTTGAAATTTTCCTTTTTGTAGTTATGAAGTTATCATAACTTCATATCTTGGGTACTGGCCCAGAGTCAATGACTGTAGGTGATAGCAGAATTTGTTTTGAGTTTACAATTCTTATGATATAATCATTTGGTCAGCAACATTGCTAGAGTATTTTCTGTGGAGGCTGTTAAGGAAAAATATATGGCTTTTTTGAGTTACAGAGTGTTGGCTTCTGGTAGAGGAAAGATTCAGAATTACAGGGTTTGATCTGATATCATAATTTTATCTTTGACATTATCTGCTTTTGAAATGGGTGTTAGAATTTTGTTTTTATGTAACTTGAGGTCTAAAGTTGTCTTTCAAATATTTTTCAAAGTCTTACTTATGAATGAGGAAATCATTCCTCTTTTTATCCAGTGTCAGAAAGTTTATTTAGAAACCTTCCCTGCATTTCTCAGAAATCCAGGCTGATAAGCTTAATTTTCTTCTGAGTTGGGAAGTTGCAGAAAATGTTTGTCTAGGGTTTAGTTGAAACTTGAGAGCACATAGGTCAACTTTTAATTTCATATAAAACCTCACCAAAATTTCCAGAATTTGCTTTCAGACTAACTGCAATCACAAGCAGTCATAAGATATAGATGTTCAGGAATTAATTTTAGATATGCACAATCTCATTTTTTTCTAAAAATATGTTTTTATTGATTTTTTTAGAGAGGGAGGAAGGGGGAGAGAGAGATAGAAACATCGATGTGAGAAAGAAACATCAATGTTTCTGCATGACCCCCACTGGGGATTGAACCTGAAGCTCGAGCATGTGCCCTGACAGAGAATTAAATTGGTACCCCCCAGTACATGGGACGACACTCAATCCACTGAGCCACACTGGCTGGGTTTAACCATTTCTAAGTATACAGTTCAGTGGTATTAAATACATTCATATTGTTGTGTAACCGCCATTACCATTTATCCTCATGACTTTTCATCTTTTTTTTTTTTTAAACTTATCTTTATTGTTGAATGTATTACAGACGTTTCTCCTTTTTTCCCCCTTTGACACCCTCCTCCCCACTCCCACCCCCCCTTTGCCTTCCCCACTCTATTGTCTGTGTCTATTGGTTATGCATATAAGTTCTTTGGTTTGTCTCTCTCCCCCTTCAACTCCCCCTTCCCTTTGAGGTTTATCAGTCTCTAACAACCAATTTGTACTTCTTGATCCCTTCATCTTTTTTACCCATCCCCCCAAACCCTCTCACCTCTGGCAGTCATCAAAAAGTTCTCTGTATCTGTGAGTCTGTTCCTGTTCTGTTTGCTCATTTTGTTTGTAGATTCAGTTGTTGATAGATATGTATTTATTGCCATTTAATTGTTCATATTTCTTTGTATTCTTCTTCTCCAAGAAGACCCTTCAATATTTCATATAATATTGGTTTGGTGGTGGTGAACTCCTTTAGCTTTTTCTTGTCTGGGAAACTCTTGATATGGCCATTGATTCTAAGTGATAGCTTTGCAGGATAGGATAATCTTAGTTGTAGGTCCTTGCTTTTCATCACTTTAAATATTTCTTACCACACCCTTCTGGCCTGCAAAGTTTCTTTTGAGAAATCAGCTGACAGTCTTATGGGAGCTCCTTTGTAGGTAACTAACTGCTTTTCTCTTTTTGCTTTTCAGATTCTCTCTTTGTCTTGAACCTGTTGCATTTTGATAATAATGTGTCTTGGTGTGAACCTCTTGGGATTCATCTTGTTTGGGACTCTCTGTGCTTCCTGGACTTGTATGTCTGTTTCCTTCACCAAGTTGGGGAAGTTTTCTGTCATTATTTTTTCAAATAGGTTTTCAATTTCTTGTTCTCTCCCTTCTCCTTCTGGTACTCCCATGATGCAAATGTTGATATGCTTGAACTTGTCCGAAAGGCTCCTTAGACTGTTCTCATTTTTTTGGATTCCTTTTTTTTTTTTTTGCTGTTCTGATTGGATGTTTTTTAATTCCTTATATTCCAAATCAATGGCTTGCTTCTTGGCTTCACCTACTCTACTCTACTCTTGGCTACTCTACTATTGATTCCCTTAAGTTATTCTTTTTTTTTTTATCCTCACCCGAGGACATTTTTTCATTTTTTATTCAGATAGAGTGGGGAGGGAGAGAGAGGGAAAGAAACATCGACGTGAAAGGGACACATCGAGTGGTTGCCACCCGCACGACCCAACCAGGGCCGGGGACAAACTGCAACCAAGGTACATGCCCTTAGTGGGAACCGAACCCAGGTCTCTCTGGACCACAGGCGGACGCTCTAACCGCTGAGCCAAACCGGCCAGGGCCCTTAAGTTATTCTTTATTTTAGTTAGTGCATCCTTCATTTCTGACTGTCCTTTATTATGTTCTTGACGTCCTCACTAAGTTCCTTGATGTTCTCATGAAGTTCCCTGAAATTTCCACTAAGTTCATTGAGTATCTTTATAAGCAGTGTTTTGAACTCTGTATCAATTAGATTGCTTATCTTCATTTTGTTTAGTTCTTTTCCTGGAGTTTTGTTTTGTTCTTCTTTCATTTGGGACATCTTTCTTTGTCTCCTCATTTTGGCTGCCTCCCTGTGTCTTTGTTTCTATGTATTAGGTAGAGTTGCTAGTCTTCTAGGCTTCCTAGGTGTCCTGTTGTAGTAGGTGTCCTGTAGGGTCTAGTGGCACAGCCTCCCTGGTCACCCTGTTGGGCCCTCGAGGTACACCCCTTGTGTGGACTTTACACCCTTCTGTTGTGATTGAGTCTTGATTGCTGTTGGCTCATCAGTGGGAGGGCTTACTCTGGCTGATCAAGTGCAAGGACTGGCTGTGCCCACTATCCACCGACCTCTGATTACCTTGGATGATCAGCTGTGCAGGGGCCTACCACACAGAGCAAGACTTACTTCAGCAAGACTTACTTCAGCAGGGCTCTGGTACCCACTGAGTCCATCCCTTGAGTGTGTCTCTTGTGGAATTGGTTGGGCGGTGGTGTTTCCAAGTGGTCTGAAGCTGGTCACTGGGTGTGCTAGCTCTGGGATAAGGTCAGCCACTGCCTGTGTTCTACTCGGGGCCACCAGTTGTAAGCTATAAAATGATTTGCCAATGACTGCTTCTTGTGCTGGGCTTGGAGGTATCCAGCCAAAGCCAAGCTGTGAACCAAGGCTGGTTGCTTCTTGCTGTGGCCAGATGCTGCTTGTTTGAGAGAATTTAGGAAAATCTGAAGCAAGAGCCAAAACAGGCTAATCCTATGGTAAAGCCACTGGAGACAGCTTGGGTAGGCCCAAAAGTTAGGTGGGGCAGGGCCTCAGGGTATCACCAGGGCAGGGCAAACAGTGTGAGCCAGGTTGCTGGAGTCTGGATATGGCACCTGGCTGTTGGCCTTGTGGGGGAAGAGCTCACTAAAGATATGTCGGCTGCTCCAGCACACCTGTCCGGGAGGAAGCTGCCTCTCCAGCCCTCACCCTGATGCCAAACAACTCAGTTCATCCCCGCATGTCTCTTATGCCTTTAAAATTGCTTCTGCTCCCCACTGGAGCTCAGAGGGAGCCAGTCCGAGTAAGTCCATGCTTGGGCCCTTTAAGAGAAACTGCTTGGGGCTCCAGTATCCTCAGCCTCAGTTCCTGCTGGATTTTACAGCAGTCGTTATGGGGACTTCTTTTCCTGGCACTGGAACCCTGAGCTGGAGTGCCTGGTGGGGGACAGGGACCCCTTGCTCCTTAGAGAGGACCATCCCAGCCGAGGTAGCCCTCCTGATATTTATCCGCCATATGTGGGTGTGGCACCATCCTGTCTGTCTCTGACCCTCCTGCCAGTCTCAGTGTGGCTTCTTTAATTTCGTAGCTGTAGGACTTATATTCAGCTCGATTTCAGGTGGTTCTGAATGATGGTTGTCCTGCAGTTCAGTTGTAATTTTGATGTAGTCATGACTCTTCATCTTGTAAAACTGAAACTCTATACCCATTAAACATTAACTCTGTATTTCCTCTGACCCCAGCCCCTGGTAATGACTTTTATACCTTCTGTGTTTATGATTTTGACTACTGTTAAGTAACTCATATAAGTAGAATCATACAGTATTTGTGTTTTAGTGACTGGCTTATTTTAACTAGCATAATATAATGTCTTCAAGTTTCATTCACATTGTAGCATATTGTAGAATTTTGTTCCTTTTAAAGGCTGAATAATATTCCATTGTATGTATGTATGTACCACATTTTGTTTATCCATTTTCCACCAATGGACACTTGGGTTTCGTCTAACGTTTAGCTATTGTGAATAATGCTGCTATGAACATAGTTGTACAAATATCTTTTCAAGACCCTGCTTTTGATTCTTTTGGGTATATACCCAGAAGTGGAATTGTGGGGTCATATGGTAGTTCTATTTTTAATTTTTTGAGGAACCTCTCTACTATTTTTCATAGTAAATGCACCATTTCACCTTCTCACCAACAGTGCAGGAGGGATCCCTTTTCCCACATCCTCGTCAACACTTGTTGACTTTTTTTTTTAATCCTAACCTGAGGATATTTTTGCATTGATTTTCAGATAGAGTTGGGGGTGGGGGCGGTGAGGGGGAGAGAGAGAGAAACATCGATGTGAGAAAGACACATCAACGGTTGCCTCCCGCATGACCCTGACTAGGGCTGAGGATTGAACTGAAACTGAGGCACGTGTCCTTGACCAGAATTGAATCTGTGACCCTTTGTTCTGTGGACTGATGCTCTAACTGCTGCCTCCTGCATGTCCCCCACTGGGGAGTTGGCTCACAACCTGGGCATGTGCCCTGATTGGGAATCTAATGGGCAGCCTCTTGGTGCATGGGTTGATGCTCAGCCACTGAGCCACACTGGCTGGATGCTTTCCTGTTTTTTTATATGCCTTGTGATTTTCTGTTAATATTGGACGTTCGAATCTAATAATGTGGTAACTCTGGGAATCAGATTTTCTCCTTCCCCTGTGGTTTGCTGTTTTTCTTATTGTTTTGTTCATTCTTTGGGATGGAGAGGTTGATTTTGTAGGATGACTCTGTTGAGGATCAGCCTGGAGTATAAAGTTAAGGTTTTTTCAGGGACTTTCCCTGGATATGTATGGTCATTTTCTAATTTTCCGTGTTTATGGGGTTTTTTTGTTTGTTTTGTTAATCCTTACCCAAGGATAGTTTTTCCATTGATTTTTAGAGAGAGGGAGGAGAGAAAGAAACATTGATGTGAGAGAGAGAGATATCGATTGGTTGCCTCCTGCATGCTCCCCAACTGGAGCCAGGGAATGAACCTGCTGTGAACCTGCACAGGCCTACCACTGTAATCACTGATCCACAGTGGCCAAGGCTGGAGTTGTTTTTGAATGTGCTACTTTTAATGTCTGGCTCCAAAAGGGGAAAAAACAAAAAAAGTTATAGGGATGAAAGGGTATTGGTCTTTTAAATCCCCTAGAAGTTGCTTCAGCCAGAGGGGAAGAGGCTTGCAACAATGGAGGGAGATGCAACAACAATGACTGCTTGCCTCTTAGTGTGTACCTCTGTGATCAGAAGCTGCATTCAGTGATCATAGTACAAATCCCCAATATTTAGAGTATAGAGTAATTTTTACTCACTTTAGCTTTCCAAGGTTGTGTACAAGCTACTCCAGAAATGGGTATACAGCTGCTTGCTATATGGCTGGGGGTGGGTGATGGCTAGTTTCTACTGTGCTGAGACATAAAATTGATGAGAATAAACCTCAATTAACTGTTCAAGGTTTACCCTGGGAGCTGCAAGCCTTCAATAGACTCTAGAGTTTCAAAATAATTACCTTCAGGCAGATTCTGCCGTTGCAATTGTTGTATGTATACACTGCATTTTCTTCATTCATCCATAGATGGACACTTGGGTTGCTTTTATATCTTGGTTATTGTGAATAATGCTGCAGTGAACATGAGAGTGTAGATATCTCTTTGAGATCCTATTTGCATGACTCTTGATTGAAAGTTTTAAAAATCTTATGTTTCCTGATGGTAATAGTTATCAATCTCATGTTACAGTAGCCTTGGCCTATGGGCTGTGAAAAACTTCAATGTCGTAGCAGCAAAGTCTACTCATTTCAGTGTTTTTTTCTGTATAATAAATTATCTGAAGTGAAGAGATATCATTTTCTTTATTCTAGGCATGCCAGGCTGCCAGGAAAACAAAAACAGATGACCGAGGAGCAGATGCAAACACTTCGGAGCAGACAATCCTTAATATGATTTCCCAAAGCTCTTCAGACACAACTATTGCAGGTTTAATGAGCATGTCAACTTCTTCTACCACAAGTGCAGTGCCTTCCCTTACAGCCACTGAAGAGTCATCAAGCAACATAAGCAGTATGGAGATGTTGCAGGGCGAGCGTTGGCTGTCCTCCCAAACTCCTTTTAAACTAGAATCTGCTCAGGGTCATCGGACTAGTGAGAATGTAGCACTTATAGGAGTTGATCATTCCTTGCAACAGGATAGTACAAATGCATTTATTTCCCAGAAGCAGAATAGTAAGAGTGTGCCGTCAGCTAAAGTATCACTAAAAGAATACCGTGCAAAGCATGCAGAAGAGTTGGCTGCCCAGAAGAGGCAACTGGAGAACATGGAGGCCAATGTGAAGTCACAGTATGCGTATGCTGCCCAGAATCTCTTGTCTCAACATGATAGCCATTCTTCGGTCATTCTAAAAATGCCCATAGAGGGCTCAGAAAATCCTGAGCGGCCTTTTCTGGAAAAGGCTGACAAAACAGCTCTCAAAATGAGAATTCCAGTGGCAAGTGGAGATAAAGCTGCCTCTTCAAAACCAGATGAGATAAAAATGCGCATTAAAGTCCATGCAGCAGCTGACAAGCACAATTCTGTGGATGATAGTATCACAAAGAGCCGAGAGCACAAAGAAAAGCACAAGACTCACCCATCTAATCATCATCATCATCATAATCACCATTCACACAAGCACTCTCACTCACAGCTTCCAGCTGGTACTGGGAACAAACGGCCAAGTGATCCAAAACATAGTAGCCAGACAAGCTCCTTAGCACACAAAACCTATAGCTTGTCTAGTTCTTTCTCCTCTTCCAGTTCTGCTCGTAAAAGGGGTCTCCCTGAAGAGACTGGAGGGGCAATGTTTGATCATCCAGCCAAGATTGCCAAGAGTACTAAATCCTCTTCCATAAATTTATCCTTCCCTCCTCTTCCTACAGTGGCCCAGTTGCCTGGGCATAGCTCAGACACAAGTGGTCTTCAGTTTTCACAGCCCAGCTGTAAAACTCGAGTTCCTCATATGAAACTGGATAAAGGCCCTGCTGGGGCCAATGGTCACAACACAACCCAGACAATAGATTATCAAGATACTGTGAATATGCTTCACTCCCTTCTCAGTGCCCAGGGTGTTCAGCCCACTCCGCCCCCTGCATTTGACTTTGTTCATTCTTATGGTGAATATCTGAATCCACGGGCTGGTGGAATGTCCTCCAGATCTGGCAATACAGACAAACCCCGACTACCACCTCTACCTTCAGAACCTCCTCCACCACTTCCACCCCTTCCTAAGTAAAAAAAGAAAAAGAAGAGAAGAAAAACTTTTAAAACATGGTTTTTTTTTTGGTTTTGTTTTGTTTTTTTTAACTACTGATTCTGAACTAAGAAAATTACTTCCCTAATGAAATATGTCTCCCTTCTTGGACTAGGGAATAAATTAATATAGAGACATAAGTGGGAGGATGGTAGAGGACCTTGGTATCTGCTGCCTCAGAAATGTAACTATTTTATAGTTTTTACTGGTATTGGAAAGGTGAGACTGTGTTGAAGCTGTGAAAGATTAAGAATACTTTCTCTATTCTTGGCCTCTCCACCTCTTAATTAGGTTGATTAGAGTTGATATCTTCCCTCTTCTTGCCAGGACTGAAATATGGAGGGTTTGTTATATCAAACAGTTGTGGATCCTTTGGTGTTTAATATGTCAGAAGAGAGGAAGTATTTAAACGTCAAAATCTTTTAAGAGACTTTAAAAAAATAATTTAAAGAAAGTAAGTTATCTGTTTAGTTTTTTTTATATAATTGGGGAAGGGATAGGGATTTTGCTGTGTGTATGGGATACATAGCAATGAGCCCTGGGGGGGGGGGGGGATTGGAGGGTGGAGGGTATGTAGGGGGATGGGAGGGTAGGCTTTTTTTGGCTGTGAGTTCTGAGATAGGCTCTGGCCACTTGAAGTGTTGAGACCTTTAAGTGTGTATGTAAGTGTGGGTATGTATGTTTTTAAGTGTGTGTGTTTAAATATCATGTTTTCTCTTTCCCTCCCTGTCCCTCACCATTTTCACTTCCCAACAGTCTGTTAGAGAGAATACGGTGTGGCCGTTAGAACTTGAAGGAAGAGGCATGTATTCGACATGGTATTTTCCCCTTTCTTTGTGTTTTAATTGAGCGGTAGCCTTCTAAATTCAAGTTTGAGCAAGTGCAGCCAATGGCTTGATTTTGGACTCCATTATTAAAATCTTCCTTTTTGCTCCCTTTTTCTTTTGACTCAGAACAAAGGTGGGATTGAGGAAGAAGGTTTGGAGAGTAAGGCTGGCTTCTGCCATACAGAATTGGGTGTATCTTTTTTTCAAGTTGGCCTTTGGGAAAGTGTTCAAGTGAGAGCAGTCTCAGGGTCTCTGATGGGAAGGGGTGTATACTATATGTCCTACCTGTGAAAGCCCAGACCATGTGTCAGAATAGTTCTGGGAGAAGCCATGGAGCTAGAGGATCCTGAAAACCATGAAATTGTGACTTGGGATTTTTGGGACATTGTATTTTAAATTATATTATAAATGTGAGACTTGCTTTTTATTTGTATAGTTGAAGGGAAACAGCTGCATCTTCAGTTTTTGCAGCCTATATGTCTTCAGAGATCGGAGCTTGTGAATTTAACAGTATTGGTGCCATGAGGGTGAGTAAGCCTAGCCCACATATACTGTTATGTTTAGACTGTCCATTCTTGGTGGATTTAGATGCTAGGCAGAGGTTCTTCAGATTTCTAAGAATCCTTTTAAAAAAATGGACAAAGTGTCTGTTCTTATGGGTGCTTGATATCCTAGATATAAGGAGTGACCATTTTTGTTGAGGAAAGAAATCTTTTAAGGGGCCAAAAGAATTCTAATAAACCAAGTTGTCTACTGAAAATACCACCTAGCCCAGATTATTTGATGTGATATTCTTTGGTCTTCATGGCAATTTTTTGCTGTAGACAAATGATGCAATTTGAATTTATCTTGTTTTTAATGCAGCTTCCTTCACACCAAATATTTTTTGTGGACAAATTGAAATTTTTTTATTGGAAGTCATAGGGAGATAGGAGTTGTACATGTGCTGCTGCTTGCCAGGAAGTTTGGGGAGAACACTGAAGCAGTTGGAATTGATGATGCACTGGCCTAATATAGGTACAGTAAACCTAACTGAAGGTGCATTAGTGTCCAGCATCTTTTCATATTTGAACTGTCTAGAGTGCCTGTCATTGCTGTGTAAATGAGCTATCTGCTGACCTATAAACTAGTATTATTTTTTACTTGGAATGTCACTTCACTTTTATAGATGAAATTTTCTTCTTTCTCTTTGATAGTATGTGTTGTGCTAATCGGTAGATGTGTGGTGTCTTTACTAAATACAGGCTTTCTATTTGTTTAGATTTTATTTGTGAAGTTTGCTTTCCTTCCTGACCTTCCCAGAAGGTTATTTAGTTGTCATCTGTATCTTTATGGGATTGATGATCACTGATTTGATTATGAAAATGTCTTTTCCAGCTTTTGATTTTTTTTCATCAAACGTCCCATATTTTCTAGTCACGTGCACTCTCTCACCACAGAGACATAGCCACTTGGCCTCATTGGCATTTCTCCACGGCAGACTAGTTAGTTGCTTGGAACTTTGTCAGGAGTGAATTAGAAAAAAGTGCTTACTAGACCCTAAGAGCTGCTTTATGCTTGTGTAGTCTGGCCTAAGCACTACTAGATCATTGGTATAGATCAGTTTAGAGACTTCTATATTAATGCCTCCTGATACTGTTTTAAGATACCTACCTTGTCTGCTTTAGATCTGTGCATATGTCATGAACCACCTGTGGGCTGTGCATGAAGCTGTTGCATTGTCTTTGGGTTAGAAGTGTGCCTGTCAACTAGCATGCAGGTTGTCCAATTTTGCACAAACTTAGGCTTCAGTGGGTTGTGTGGTTTCTAAACTGTATCTTCTCTATCCCTCACACTTTCAAAGGGTGAGAAATGGGGTTTATATATCCAGAGTTAGTCCAGTAAACATGGCTTTCCCCTCCCCTCCTTTTAACCTAAACTATCAAGGATAAGTGGTGGTAAGCAGGCCTGGAGCCTCAAGTTCTGTAAATCTCATTCCTAAACTTTGCTTGAATCTCATGTTGGCAAAACAAATACCTGTGGATTGTCCTTAGGGCTGTTAATCAATACCTGTGTTGCTCTTAGCTGAACTCTAATGAAGCATTAATCTAAAGCTAAATTGGTCTTCAAAAGTATCAGTTATGCTTTTTTGGTTTAGAAAATACATGAATTAGTTCAGTCTTTTAAATCATGAATCAGTGTGTTTCCATATCTGAGCCTCTTAGCTGGCTGCTGCTGCTGCTGCTTCTTTTTAATGATTTTAGTGTTTTGATTTAATGTATTCTTTTTTATAGTTCTGTATTATTGGCTTCACCTGTGTTGATAGAAATAAAATCTCTAGTTGGAAACAGCAGTGCATTAGGATATAGAAATAAAATCATGGTAACATTAGTGCTGGATTTCCTTAAGCCTCTACTACCTAATTCCCTGTATTTGAAATGTATACCCCTCATACCTTGCTTCATGGACAAGGTAACTAAGGGGAGTTAGAGGGTCTTATTCCAGTAGGGTTGGATTTTAAACGTATCTGTGTTTCCCACAGAAATGTAGGAACTGTGGGAACTTGAGAAATTAATTACTTTTTAAAAGGATTATTCTTTTGTTGATGAGTTATTTTGATACTAATACTAGGAAAAGGGAGATTACAGACCATCTTAAAGTTGGAATACAAATACTATTCTCTTGCATTTGGGAGAATTTAAGCGGTCTATGCAACCCTTCATGTGTTCAGAAATAAGCCCTCTGCAGTCCCATTAAACCTTCAGTGACTTTGATACCTCCCCAGATTTCTTGTGTTGCTGCTTATTAACACCTAGCTTTTAACTGAGTATTTGCTCCTGATGGTTTAAGAAATGTTCATGTGGTATCACCCTGTCAGGTTTTATTTTTATCTTTTTATCCCTCTGGATGTGAGTTTGAAACAAGTATGGTACTGTAATCTTACATGATAGAATGGTCTAGAATGAGAATTATTTCTTAGTGGGGCACCGTTCTGTTTTAATGTTTCTGAAGTTTTAAATATGAACTTGGCATTGGAAAAGGAAGGAAAGAATGTTTACTAAAAAAGCAGTGTGTACTCTCCCCTGTTTATGAGTATATATTCATGGATGAATGAAAAGAAGAGAAAGACTCTTGGGTTTTCTGTTGTCATGTTAAGTGTGGAGAGGGATGCTTGACAGCATTCTAATTGAAGCCAGAGTAAGTATGGATTCATCAGGCTATCAGGAAGTCTTCAGTGAAAAGCTGAGGATCTAACTGATTAGTGGTTGATCACATTGGAATTGATTACAAGATGGAGGTGCTGGTTGGGTTAAGCACCCAAAGAAAAGAATGCAGCAGCCTAACTTAGTGTTAACCTAGGTTTCTGGATTTGAAACTGACCTTTTTCCCACTTTAACTCCACACTCCTAAAATTGTTTGTTGTTGTTTTTTTTATCAGACCAAAGAGCAAAAGAAGGAAAAAAAAAAAAAGTAAAACACTTTACCAATCTGTGTCACTCAGGTACAATTTTGTGGTGAAATTTTTGTCTGTTTTCTTTGTATTGCTCTTAAGAATCCTTTCTCAGCATATTATTCTGCTGTTGCCTCTGTCCTCCTTGGGGCATCTCAGTTCTGGATGCTACCCATGGTATCTCTACTGCTGTTAAGTGAATGATAGGATGTTAGTGACCATTACAGTAAGGGCTCTTTGTAAAAAATTTAAAAAATTGTTTTTTTTAAATTTAAAAAAGGACGTTGTATACATTTTATAGTCTGGCTATCAGTTTGATAATATTGCTGTCAAGTATGTTTCTCAATCTGTATCCATCCCATCAATAAACGTTAATTATAAAACCCTCATCTGACTGTTGTTTTGTATAGAGTCTTCAAGTTAGTCTTTAACTGTCATTTTATTGATATGGTTATAGTTTTGATAATAGTATGTACCTTGTTACTGCACAAGATCCTGTGGGAATTGAGTCCATGGGAAAGACCTAAGATTTGGTCATCACAGTGAACATGAGAGTATAAAGTATGATGGAGTAAAAAACCCTCATTTAATATTGTTACATAGATACTTGGAAGAGTAACTGCTGCACATAGGTCTAACAGATGATAGCAGTGTGTACTTCTTATCTAGCAAGTACTGAAAACATGATACATAATTTTATATTTGGTTTTGAAAAATATAAAATGGTACAGACAAGGAGTATATTTGAAAGGGAAAATAAACAGCATTCTTGGTGGTGCCTGGGAAAATTGATAGTGAATAGTCACTCTTTTCCTGGGATATAATAAAACATACACACAGGTACATCTTATAAATTGCACATTTAAAAGGAAATAGTTTTTATGTTAAAGTTCTCCAAAATTATAACACAGAGTTAGCAGTAGTTATAGTTTAAAAGCTCTAAAAGGAAAAAATAAATTGAATAGAATTATATACGTTTCTGAAAAATCATGAGTTTTTTTTTTTTTTTTTCTTTATTTATTTTTCAGACAGAGTGGGAGGGAGAGAGAGGAAGAGAGAGAGAGAGAAAAACATCGACGTGAAAGCGACACATCGAGTGGCTGCCACCCACACGACCCAACCAGGGCCGGGGACAAACTGCAACCGAGATATATGCCCGTAGCGGGAACCGAACCCGGGTCTCTCTGTACCGCAGGCCGACGCTCTAACCGCTGAGCCAAACCGGCCAGGGCTGAAAAATCATGAGTTCTGTTCATTACTTCCATTTAAAAAAATAAGACAACTTAAGATTTTTGTTCACTGTGTACATCTCTTGAAACTTTTGTGGAAGTTGCTGACATTTTAGGAATTCTGATCAGGTTTGAATGGAACAAGAGAAAAGCAGTGATTTACCTTTGGGTAAGAGAGTATCAACTGTATCATCCTTGGGAATAGATGCAAACAAATCAATATAAAGGTTGTATACAATTGTATTCTCAAAGGGTCTGTTAAGTTGAATGATGTAGAGCTAGGCTTCATCTTAAAATCAATGCCTAAATTATAAATTTTCCTCACAGTTAAAAAAAAAATTTTATGCCCTGGCTGGTTTGGCTCAGCGGTTAGAGCGTGGACCTGCGGACCAGAGTGTCCCGGGTTCGGTTCCCGCTAAGGGCACATACCTCAGTTGCAGCTTGTCCCTGGCCCTGGTTGGGGTCGTGTGGGTGGCAACCACTCAATGTCTTTCTCTCACATCACTGTTTCTCTCTCTCTTCCTTCCTCTCTCCTTCCCACTCTACCTGAAGATAAATGCAAAAAAAAGAGCCCTCGGATGAAGATAAAAAAAAATTTTTTTTATGTTACTGATTTTATTTTATTTATTTATTTATTGATTATTTATTTATTTTGGTATATGCCCCTAGTGGGAACTGAACCTGGGACTATGGTCTGCAGGTCAATGCTTCAACCGCTGAGCCAAACCGGCCAGGGCTATGTTATTGATTTTAGAGAGAGTAAGAGAGAGAGAGAAACATCCATGTGAAAGAGAAACATCAATCAGTTGCCTCCACATGCCCTGACCAGATATTGGACCTGTAACCTGGGTATGTGCTTTGACCAGGAATCGAACCTGCCACCTTGTGGTGTATGAAACATGCTCCAACCAACTGAGCCACGCCAGCCAGGGCTCCTCACACTTTTTAGACCTAAATAGATTGGCTTGATCTCTCTTCAAATTTCTGTAGAAAGTTTGAAGCCCTTTCTATGACGTCTGTGGACTACCTTAAAAGTGTATACAGGTGGGGCAAAAGTAGGTTTATATCCCTGGCCGGTGTGCTTAGTGGTTTGAGCATCGGCCTGTACACTGAAGGTTCATGGGTTCAATTTCAGGTTCAATTTCAGGTCAAGGGCAAGTACCTGAGTTGCAGGGGCCCCACTCAGGGTGCTTGTGGGAGGCAACCAATTAATGTTTCTCACACTGATTTTTTTTCTCTCTCCTTCTCCTTCCCTTTCACTCTCTAAAAAATTAATGGGAAAAAAAAAACACTCAGTGAGGATTAATAAAAAAGTAGGTTTACAGTTGTTCCAATGGAAATAATACAATAATAAATAATAATACAAGAGTAAACTTGCATACTCACAACTGTAAACACACTTTTGTCCCAACCTGTATTTATTGGCTCGGGTCTACTTTTAAATTAATTTGGTTTATGGATTGTCACATGTCCTACTTGTGCTACCTTTTTGCAGTGTGGGATCTCAACAACATTTCACATAATACTCAAAACCAACAGATAATAAAACCAGTGATGAAACAAGTTAAAATTGAATACAGCCCTGCCTGGGTGGCTCGGTTGGAGCATTGTCCCATACACCAAAAAGTTTTGGGTTCAATCTCTGGTTGAGGTTTGTGTGGGAGGCAACTGACGTTTCTCTTTCACATCAGTGTTTCCCCCTTCCTTAGCTCTAAAAAATAAAAGCCTTCATTCTAAAAAAAATTGAGTATAGTAAGCCCTAATTTAATGTCATTGATAGATTCTTGGAAATTGACATTAAGTGAAATGATAACTACGGAAAGCAATTTTACCATAGGCCAATTGATATAAACAAGAGGTAAGCTCCTATGGCATATTTCTGGTCACAAAAAAGTCACCAAACTTGTAAATAAAGATCCCAATCACTTCTAATATAACACATTGAAATACATGTGAGCTATACATTAATTTAAGAAAGATTATTAAAAACAATGATTTTCCCACCTGTGTTGAAAATGAATTGTAGGAGTCAAGGGTAAAGAGGCTCACAATACTTAAGAGATAAGAATGACTTGGACCAGGTTGGAAGTGCTGAAGGTAACAAAAAATTATATATCTTGAAGTTCGAGCCTGTAGGATCTGCTATAAGGTTGGAAGAAAAAGAAGTCAAGGATGACTTCCACTGTTTGGCCTGACCATCTGGAAGGATAGAGTTGTCATATACTGAGATGAGGATGACTACAGAAAGAGCAAGAGTTTGGTATTCATTTATTCTCATCTTCCCTTCCTTGGTCCCTCCCTCCCTTTCTCTCTCACACACACATACTTTTCTCTATGATTAGCCCCCAAAACTCTAAATTTTCAAAAAATGTTTCCCTTCAAGAATTCATCTTACCCTGCACGCTCTCCCTCTTGGGAGGACACCCACGCCTTTCCCTTCTCTATCTTCTTCCCCAATAGGCATGCATCTCCTAAACTCTAGCACTGGGCAGCAGCAGCTCTTCCAGGGCTAACTCCTTGAACCTGTTTCTAAGGCCTCTTTTTCTCTAACTTTTCCAGTGAGCCAAAGCAGCTCCACCCTAGGCTCTCTCCTGCTGCTGCTTCTGTCCTAAGCTCTTCTTTGTTTCACTGTCCCTTCCTCTGTCTAAAATCAATCAAGAAAAAAAATTAGAAAACAAACAAAAAACCCAACCATCTACTTTGTTAAACAGCACAAAGAATTTGCTAATATATTGACCCTTTAATAATATCTGCCCCCTCCACAGCTTAGAAGGAAGTGGTTCTAAATAGCAATTTTTTGGTCTGTTTTGGGCTTAGCGGGAGGATCTTCTTTTTTTAAATATGTTTTTATTGATTTTTTTTTTTTTATCCTCACCGGAGGACATTTTTTGATATTTTGTTCAGATAGAGAGGGAGGGAGGGAAGGAGGGAGGGGAAGAGAGAGAGAGAGAGAGAGAGAGAGAGCGCGCGAAACATCAACGTGAAAGGGACACATCGAGTGGTTGCCACCCACACAACCCCAACCAGGGCAAGGAACCGAACCCGGGTCTCTCCGGACCACAGGCCGACGCTCTAACCGCTGAGCCAAACCGGCCAGGGCAGTTTTTATTGATTTTTTTAGAGAGAGAGAAACATTGATGTGAGAGAGAAACATTGATTGGCCGCCTCCTGCATGCTCACCACTGGGGATTGGGCCCACAACCTGGGCATGTGCCCTGACCAGGAATTGAACTGGCGATCTCTTGGTGCATGGGTTCATGCTCAACCAGTGAGCCACACTGGCCAGGTTGGAGATTCTTTTTTTTTTTTTTTTTTAATTAAGACCCTCATTAGAACCTCTAACTAAACAAAATCTTTGTTGCATTGCGATCTATCTAGTTCCTAATTCTTCTTTACATTGTTCCCTATATTAGTTTTAATATTGCCACATTTGATTGCAGATTCTGATTCCAAGATTTTCTGTAATGTGACTGCCTCTAGTTAATTTTGAGTTATAGGGTATTAATAAAAAGTGTCTTGGCCTGCTGGTGTGGCTCAGTGGTTGAGCATTGACCCATGCACCAAGAGGTTGGCGGTTCGATGATTCCTGGTCAGGGTACATGCCAGGTTGTGGGCCAAATCTCTATGGGGGACATGCAGGAGGTGGCCAATCGATGTTCTTTCTCTCTCATTGATGTTTCTCTCTCTCCCTTTCCCTTCCTATCTCTAAAAATCAGTTAAAAAAAACAAGAAGCAAATGTCTTCTTTGTACCCCTCTGAGGGTTGGAGTGTTTGCTTATATATATGAATCATTGTTGCTATTATGTTTGTATTGTATCCACAATCCCAAACTGCTCTAGAATGTTTACTCTAAAAAAGCAGGGTTATCTTTCTTGTTTTCTCTGTATCTCCAGTGTCTGGCACTTAAGTGCTCAGTAAATAATTTGTTGAATGAATAAATTTCAGGAAAGGGTCCTCTAAGCCTACCCTAATCTCTGGGAACAGCACTTCACCTGTCCCACCAATCCCTTAATTTTTGTTTTTCTTGTGGCTAAAATAACTGCTTAGGTTCTTGAGTTATGTGGATTCTGTATGCTCACCTCCACTGTCGTGTGTGCTCACTTCCTCATTGGTGGTGGAGAAATCTCTTAATTAAATGAAACTAACAGCACATAAGGGTGCTTGGTAAGGTTGGGATTCAAAAAAGATCCCGAACGCTTATGGGGAGATGTTGGTTCATTTCCATAAGAGATGAAAAAAGAGATTTTTTTTTTTTTTTTATCCTCACCCGAGGACATTTTTCCATTTTTTGTTCAGGTAGAGTGGGAGGGAGAGAGAGGAACAGAGAGAGAGAGAGAGAAACATCGATGTGAAAGGAATACATCGAGTGGCTGCCACCCGCACAACCCACCAGGGCCGGGGACAAACTGCAACCGAGGTATGCGCCCTTAGCGGGAACCGAACCCGGGTCTCTCAGGACCGCAGGCCGACGCTCTAACCGCTGAGCCAAACCGGCCAGGGCAAGAGATGCTTTTAATTAAAAAAAAATCCTTAAAGGATGATGCAATTGGGATTGTGTCTGCCATTTCTATATATCTGAATTATTTAGCATGGAATTGTAGAGAATTTTAGAGAATCAGGGCCTAAACCACAATTTTTAATTCCTTTTTCTTAGTCCCATGGTTTACTATATGAGAGGCAAAAAGGGATAAAGAATGAGGGCTGGGTTCTAAAAGGGTTACTAATGTTTTAAAGGGTAAAGGTAAAAATTTGCAAAAGGTGGAAACTATGGATATTGTGTTGCTTGCATGACCTTTGCTCAGCCTTTTGTTGAGTATGGATAAGGATTATCTGGATTATCCACAAGGCAATGGATAACCCAGATGCCAGATGAGATACCAGACCAGTCCAATTGCAAAATGGACAATGGGCCAGACAGAGTACATCAGCAGGAACTGGCAGAAGCTAAAAGTACAGTATATAACGACACCCCAACTCTGATTCAAGGCTGAACTCTTTTTCAGCTCAGCCCACCTGCACCCAGGCGCGTGCAATATAGCCATATTTCTCTACACTGGCCTTGCGTTATGGATGTGATCTCCCACTTTGCTCCTCTCCCCCATTTACTACATTGGGCTCATTCTATTCCTCAGTTATCTGTAAAGCATAGATAATAGCCTCTACCACGGATAATTGTTTATGTATGTAATTTCCCAGACTCAGTAATTACTCAGAAAATGTTTTAGTAAATGAACTGCTCACAAAAGAAATTTAAGGCCTTTTCCTGTATAAAGTGTCACTATGTCTGATTTTTCACCAGTTGTGCTAAGGTAACGGCAGGCAAAGATAACAGACACAGCGCCCAAACACGTCCGGAACACTAACCACGCTCCGAGGTGAAACTACAGCCCTGCTTCGCAGCCCGCGCTCGCGCCGCCTCAGACAGACAGGTCACCTCACCTCCCCAGTCACACATTTTCTCAGAGCTCCGCCCCCCAGGCATGATAGGTAGCTAGCCTCGGCCAATGGTGGCACAACGCCGTAGGCCTGGTAGCCAATCAGTGGTAAGGAGCCCGGAAAGGAGCGGGGCCAAGTTAGAAGCCGCTGACGAGCCAGAAGGGCGAGCAGCGTGGCGCGGCGCGGCGCGGCGCAGCGCGGTAGCAGAGGTAAGATGGCGGCGCTGCTTGCTTTACGTCTTTGCAGTTAGACTGCTGCCTTGCCCCTTCTGCCCCCTCCGAGCTGCTACTCTGCCTCGATCAGCATCGGGGTAACTCTCCTCCTACTGGCTCCCAGGACCAAGATTCTCCGGTGCCCGGAGCCTTAGGACAAAATGGCGCTTGCACGGGCAGCCGAGGACGGGCTGGGCTCAGCAATGAGCTCGGAGGCGGGCCGGGACAAAGGCGGCGTGCAGGGAGGCGGAGGCGGGGCGCGGCTCTGCGGTGTTGCTGCTGCCGCGTGGGGCCGGCGCTGAAGCTTCCCGCTCGTGTTGCGGCGGTGCGAGTCCTTCCGATACTTTCAGCGCGGTGGTGTTCGGGGCGGGCGATCCTGGAGGGAGAAGTGGAAGTGAGGCAAGTTCCCTAGTGCCCGGGGAGACCAGGACCAAGGGGAGATACGGAGAATGTCTTCTGTTCTTTAGAAACTACCCGCGGTCGGCCCGGGTATTGTGGGAAGAGGAATTTTTGGCAGGGGTAAGGGCTTTTTGATCTTTTGTGTGATCCTGCAGGTTTTGGTATGAACAGGATTCGGATCCACGTCTTGCCGACCAACCGGGGGAGAATCACCCCAGTGCCCAGGTCTCAGGAGCCCCTCTCTTGTTCATTCACTCATCGCCCATGCTCGCAACCTCGTCTGGAGGGGCAGGAGTTTTGCATTAAGCACATCCTTGAAGACAAGAATGCACCCTTCAAGCAATGTAGTTATATATCGACGAAGAATGGAAAAAGATGTCCCAGTGCTGCCCCAAAGCCTGAGAAGAAAGATGGGTATATATATATATATGTGTGTAGATGTTTTTGTTGTTTGTACTTTTAAAGTGAGATCGTAATGGGGTATGAAGTGGGCTTGGACGAAATTGGGATTATAAATATATCCTTGCGGGGAGGGTGGAAACAAACGGTGAAACGGAAAAGATACAATTTCTGGTTGGGTCACTCAGCTCATCTCTTCGAATCTTCTCCCTTATCTTTAAAATAAAGGAGTATTCTAGATTTTTCTTAACCCTGGGGTCCATGGCTCTTCAGGCCATCTCTGAACCTTGTTAAGTAATATGCAAAATGTTTATTCTTCTGGGAAAGGTTTCATAGCTTTCATTACATGTAAAGATATCCATGCAGGAGCATAACTTGGGTAGATAATTCTGCATATACATTTTGGTTTTAAAATTGTGTTCAACATCTTATTACCTACTATGTATTAATGTTGAAGTAAAATGTAGAGTTGCCTTCCAGAACTAATTTTGACAGGTGAAAGCGAATCTCTGATTTGTTGCGGTGTCAGCATTTTTATAGTTGGAATGTTTTGTTTGATGGATAGAGCATTAGGTTATGCTACCTGCATTTCCCTTTAGTAAAACCAAATGTGTTGACCTTGGGCCAGTTAAATTACTTGGCCTCACTGGACTTTTAACTCTTTGTAAACGAAGATAATGGTCATTTTAACTTCCTAAAAATTATCTAAAGATCAGTGGGTATGAAAATCATTGAACTTTCTCAAGAAATAACCTATATGAACATAAAATGTTAATATTTTGTCTCCTTAGGGTGTCCTTCTGTGCTGAACATGCCCGTAGGAATGCCCTGGCACTTCATGCTCAAATGAAGAAGACCACTCCAGGGCCTATGGGTGAAACACTCTTGTGCCAGCTGAGCTCATATGCTAAGACAGAGCTGGGGTCTCAGACTTCAGAAAGTAGTCGCAGTGAAGGCAGCCGAATTCTGGGTAAGGATTTTCTCTCCTAGAATGAAAAAGGAGGAAGAAAGGTAACAAAAAACTTATTTTGGTTTTAGCACAGTGCCTTGAACATACATGGTACTTGATAATACAGTATTATTAATTCACTGGTAAATTGGTGAGATTCCAGGATTGCTATGTTGTTCACCAATTCTTTTCAGTTTGAAGTAGTGTGTGCTTATGTATGTTTTACTGAGTTTATGACTATTTTCTTCATTGCTGTTTTTATGTTTATCATCTTTGCTAGGTAAGATACTTATTTCAGGAAACAAAAATAATTTTGAGTTGGACTTTCTGTCTTTTTGAGGGCATGGTTAACTCAATTTTAAGATTTGGGTTGATGTGTTAAGTAATGTAGCTTTGTGTGGTGGAGTTACAGAGGTGGGAAGTCTTAATGGCTGCTCTCCCTTCCTTGCCTCAGATGAAGACAGCTGGAGTGATGGGGAGCAGGAACCCATTACTGTGGATCAGACATGGAGAGGTGACCCTGACAGTGAAGCTGATAGCATAGACAGTGATCAAGAAGATCCCTTAAAGTAAGTTGTAATTCCACATAGGCTTTTAAATATTTTATGTAGTTAGTATGTGGAATGTAGTACTGGATACTGTTAAAAGATTAATAACCTTAAGAGGGTTGAAGATAGCTTAGCTATTTTTGAGCAGAAATAGCTTCTGTGAATTCACGTGTCATGATTCACCACCATTTTCATTTGAGGCAGGATTTGATTCGTTTTTAGAAGTTTTGTAATTTGGGAAAATTTTTGGATGTTAAATTTTACACCTGAGAAAGTATAGGGGAGAAAATAGGAAATTTCTTGGATGTAGGAGCGGGAGGTGGGTTGAGAAATGCTTAGATCAGTTAGAGAAGAGAAAGTTGATGTGAAGGCATTCTTGGCGTAAACCTCAGGAATAATAAAGTGATTGTATTTGAATAACTACATTTTTGCAAAGTAACATTTTGGTTTTTTTTTAAGAAAAATAAAAAGACATTTCAATAGTTTCCTTTGGTTTCACGCCTAAGAAAGAAAAACATTTAGAAACCAGGAAGTGAGTAATCAGCCTAATTATATCTTACTAAGGTTCCTGTCTTCATGGAACCCATGATCATCTTAGGAGTTGTAGAGACATAAAAACATTGCTATTCCAAAGTCTCATATTTCTGTGTCTCATGGTTTGGGTTTAGTTTAGTTTGCTAGACTACACTGTGTTGTCAGTTCTTACAATTTTCTTCATTACCTTGGCTTCCGAGGTTTATAAGAAGTCATTTAGGGTATATTTTTCTGAGTAGAATTTCATCTGTTTCTCTTGAGTAATCGCAATGTAGTCAGCAATTCAGGAAATACTTTTTTGGAAAGTCAATTTAAGTTGTTTGAGAATGAATGTTTGTTTTCTAGCAAGATTCTTTCACAGTAGTAACTTTATACCAAGCATATTTTTTATTTTATTTTTCATTGTGCTTCTAGAAATGCCAAACTTGCTGTTGTGAAGAGGTATATGCTCTGTAGGGTCACAAAGTGACTGCTCGTGTGGTAAAACACTCAGCTTTGAAGGTCCAGAAACATGATTTTATCATAAGTAATCTAGAGAAAGAAGATCAGTCTCTAGAGGACACATTCATACTAAAGAAACTTATAAGAGACTGCCATATAAACCAAAATACCAGTTATGTGAGAAGAATAAATGTTACAAGAACTAGAAACTTGATTTCAATTTCTCCTAAAAGGAACACCCTAAGGGGAAAATAAAGCCCCAAATATGTGCAACTATTAGGCAATGAAATAGTAAGGCTTTCTTTTTTTGTTGTTTTTTTTTTTATCCTCATCCGAGGACATTTTTCGATATTTTGTTCAGATAGAGGGAGAGGGAGAGGGAGAGAGAGAGAGAGAGAGAGAAACATTGACGTGAAAGGGACACATCGAGTGGTTGCCACCCACACGACCCAACCAGGGCGGGGGACAAACTGCAACCGAGGTACGTGCCCTTAGCGGGAACCGAACCCGGGTCTCTCCGGACCGCAGGCCGACGCTCTAACCGCTGAGCCAAACCGGCCAGGGCAGTAAGGCTTTCTTTGATTTTGTCATTGTGATTATCCAAAATAAATTTCAGCCCACTAAAATATATGCATTTTTAGGAATGTAAATAGAGTTGTTAAGTGTCTGTTAATATTAATATGGTTACATAGTACTATCTTGTTATATTTAATCCAAGTGTTTAATGCAGTTCTCTAAATTAAAAATTTTCATTTTTGGTGCCAGTGTTGGTCATAACTGGGGCCACATTTGGAATCATTATCAATTTACAGCATGTATTTTCACTGGCTTGTTTCAGACCGGGTACTTTTTGTATTTATGATGTCATTAGAGATTTATCCTAACTAGAGTTATTATTGGTGTAGTTGTGCTCCCCCACGTCCCCCGTAGGTATATATCTTTGTGATTTCCCTCAAAGTAACTATTTACTTAATTGCTTTGTAAAAAGTAATCTGTATCCCTGGCCAGTTTGGCTCAGCGGTTGAGCAACGGCCTACGGACCAGAGAGTCCGGGTTCGGTTCCTGCTAGGGGCACGTACCACAAAAAAAAAAGTAATCTGTAAAAGCTCATTTATAGCAACATCCAGTACTGGTGAAGTTTTAGCTTAAGAATAATTGTTAAATCTTTCTTTAACTTTTTATTTTCTTTTTCTCTTTTAATCCTCACCTGAGGATATATTTTCACTGATATGAGAGAGAGAGAAACATTGATTGATTGCCTCATGTTCAAGCCCCAACTGGCATCAAACCTGAAACTAATGTATGTGCCCTGACCAGGAGTTGAACCTACAGTCTTTTGCTGTATGGGACAATACTCCCAACAAACTGAGCCACTTGGCCAGGGCCTTTCACTTTTAAAAATACAAGTTTTATGATATGACTTCTGAAAGCATCCAGAACTTGTTTTAGTAAAGGCCATTTCAAGTAATTGAGTCTTTATTATTGTCAAAATAAAGAAATTTGGAGAATGCTCTTTAATAAGAGACACTGTTTAATGGGATATAAGGTGACCGCTTTCTTTTTTAAAAATAATTTTTCATTCAATTACCGTTGATATACAATATATTAATTTTAGGTGGTACAACCCAGTGATTAGACATTTATATATAACTTATGAAGTGGTTGCCTCAATAAATCTAGTACTCATCTGACACCATATATAGGTATTACATTATTATTGACTATATTTCTTATGCTGTGCTTTATAGCCTCATCACTATTGGGTAACTACCATTTTGTACTTCTTAATCCCTTTACCTTTTTCACCCATCCTCCGATCCTACCTCCCATCTAGCAACCATTAAAATGTTCTCTGCATCTGTGAGTATATTTTCTGCTTTTTTTTTTTTTTTCATTTTTGTTTTAAGATTCCACGTAAGTGAAATCATAGAGCATTTTTCTTTCTTTGTATGACCTATTTCACTCAGCACAATACTCTCTAGGTCTATCCATGTTATAGATGGCAACATTTCATTCTTTTTTATGGCTGAGTCATACTCCATTGTATGCACCACTTCTTTATCCACTTGTCTATTTTTTAAAAAAATATGTTTTTGTTGATTTTTTAGAGTGAGAGAGAAAGGGAGAGAAAGATAGAAACATCCATGTGAGCCCACAACCCAGGCATGTACCCTGACTGGGAATCGAACCCTGGGACGATGCTCAATCCACTGAGCCACATTGGCCAGGCTATCCACTTGTTTACTGATGGACACTTTGGTTGCTTCCATATCTTGGCTGTTGTAAATAATGCTACAGTGAACATATTGATGTATGTGTCTTTTTGATTTAGTGTTTTGGGTTTCTTCAGATAAATAACCAAAAGTGGAATTGTGGCTCCTTTGTTTCTTGTTATAGCATTTTTAAAAGTCTGTTTTGTCTGTTGTAAGTATTGCTACCCAGCTTTTTTATTTTTGTTTCCATGAAATATCTTTTTCTATCCCTTTACTTTCAGTCTGTGAGTGTCTTTTGATCTAAAATGAACCTCTTGTAGACAGCATATGTAATGGTCATTCTTTGTTTTCCACTGAGCCACCATATGCCTTTTGATTGGGTCATTTAATTTATTTGCATTTAAAGTAGTTGTTGATAGATATGTATTTATTGCCATTTTATTCACATTTATTGTCTTAAAGATTTTTTTTTATCCTCACCTGAGGACATTTTTCCATTTTTGCTCAAATAGAGTGGGAGGGAGAGAGAAGAAGAGAGAGAGAGAGAAACATCGATGTGAGAGAGATACATCGACAGGCTGCCACCCACACGACCCCAACCGAGGCCGGGGACAAACTGCAACAGAGGCACGTGCCCTTAATAGGAACCAAACCCAATACTCTCTGGTCCACAGGCCGACGCTCTAACTGCTGAGCCAAACTGGCCAGGGCCGACCAGGGCTCTTAAAGATTTTTTAATATATCTTGCAATATAAGTTTGGTGGTGCACTGCTTTAGCATTTCTTATGTAGGAAGCACTTTATCTGTCCTCTGATTCTAAATGATAGCTTTGCTAGGTAGAGTAATCTTGGTTTTCATCACTTTGAATATTTCCTGCCAGTCTCTTCTGGTCTGCAAAGTTTTTGTTGAAAAGTCAGCTGACAGTCTTAGGGGAGCTCCGTTATAGGTAACTAACTGCTTTTCTCTTGTTGCTGTTAAGATTCTGTCTTTGTATTTAACCTTTGGCATTTTAATTATGATGTGTCTTGATGTGGACCTCTTTGGGTTCATCTTGTTTGGGACTCTGTGCACTTCCTGGACTTGTATGTCTATTTCCTTCACTAGGTTATGGAAGTTTTCTGTTATTTTTTTTTTCAAATAGGTTTTTCAATTGCTCTTTCTGGCACCTCCATGACGGGAATGTTGGAATGCTTGATGTTGTCCCAGAGGCTTCTTAAACTATCGTCATTTTTTTGGATTCTTTTTCCTTTTAGTTGTTCTGATCTCGCCCCCCCCTTCTTTATCTTTCAAATCTCTGATTTGATCATCTATTTGATTTCCTGTAGTGTGTTCTTCATTTCAGTTAGTGTATTCTTCATTTCTGACTGGTTCTTTTTTATGTTTTCTCTCTCTTTTTTTGCTTTCTATCCTGTTAAAAGTTCTCACTGAGTTTGTCTACTCTTCCTCTAAGTTCATTGAACATCCTTATAATCAGTGTTTTGAATTCTGCATCTGGGAGATTGCTATTTTCCATTTTGTTTAGTTTTTTTTTCCTGGAGTTTGTTCTGTTCTTTTATTTGAGACATGTTTCTTTTTCTCCTCATTTTGGCCTATGTGTATTAGAGCTGCTACATCTCCTGAACTTAGTAGAGTGGCCTTATGTAGCAGATGTCCTGTAGAATCCAGTGGCATAGCCCTCCTGGTCACAGGAGTTGGGCGCTCCAGGTGTGCCCCCGTGTGGGCTCTCTTCACCCTCTTCTGGTTTAACCTTGATTACTGTTGGCTTGTCAGTGGGAGAGATTGACTCGTAGGCTTATCAGCTGCAAGGATTGGCTGTGACCACCTGGAGGATCTGTTATGCTGGGGACAACCCTGTGGAACAGGACTTGATTTAGCAGGACTCTGGTTCTTGCTGAGTCCACCCCTTATATGTGTCACTCATGGAGGTGGTTGGGTGATGCTCTAGTGTGGTCTGAAGTTGTCCTAGGTGTGCTGGCTCCGAGGTCTCCTGGGAAGTGCAGGCCAAGGTCAGCCACTGCTTGTGCCCTGCCCAGGGCCACCCAGCATGCGCTACAAAGTGATCTGCAGATGGTTTCTATTTATACTGAGCTTGGGGGTGTCCAGGAGAGGCCAAGCTGCGATAGTGTCATGCCTCAGGCCACTTAGCAAGGTGAATGGACCATGCTGAGGCAACATGCTGCTTTTATGAGAGACTTTAGCAAAGTGCAATCTGAGCCAAGATAGACTGAATATATGGAGAAGCCAGTGGAAACGGGGTGGGCTTTCAGATAGTTGGGGCAGAGTCTCAGGTAATCAGCAGGGCAGGGCCAGGCCAGCAGTGTTTGCCGGGTTGAGGGAGACTCTGGTATGAGTTATGGGGAGGGCTCAGCAAAGAAACAGTGGCCTCTGACATCACTCTGTCTGGGAGAAAGCTGCCTCTCCTGCCTTCTCCTTGATGTCAGACAATTCAGTTCCTCTTCGGATGCTACTGCCCTAGCAGCAATGGAGCTCAGACCAAGTAAGTCAGTCAGTCCATGCATTGGCCCTTTGAGATGAATGCCCTCCCTCGCCCTCTGCCTCAGTCTTCCTGTATGTCTCTGGTGCCCCTCAAGCTGCCTCCCCTCCAAGCTTAGAGGGAGAGAGTCTGATAAGTCCGTGCGCGGGCCCTTTAAGGAGCTGCCTGGGGCTCCAGCCGCTGCAGCTTCCCTGAGCGGGGCACCTGGTGTGGGACGAGGACCCCTCAGTCCTCAGGAAGGACCTTCCCAGCCAAGGTAGCCTCCTGATTTTTATCCGCCACACGTGGGTGTGGGACCCGCCCCTCCCGCCTCCGCCCTCCTACCAGTCTGGATGTGGCTGCTGCTTTAATTCCGTAGTTGTAGGACTTCCATTCAGCATGATTTCAGGCGGTTTTGAATGATGGTTGTTCTGTAGTTTAGTTATAACTTTGATGTGGTTGTGGGAGGACGCCATCTTGAACGGAAGTCCCAAGTTACATGCTCTTGACTGGGAATCGAACCCTCGATCGACCCTTCAGTGTGCAGCCTGACAGTCTAACCACAGCCAAACTGGCCAGGGTAAAAGTTTTATTATCTTATAATTGGTAGCAAAATTTAATAAAATTGATGTGGATCATCTCGATCTTTGGTAATTAGGGTTAACTCAGGTTACTGTATTTTGAGAATATTGTCAAGAAAATGAGCTAAGAATAGTGATTAGCCATTGTGACCAGTGTTAGCCATTGTGACCAGGTAAACTCTAATATAGTCCAATATAGGAATATTTTTTGTTTATTTTATGTAATCCTCACTGGAGGATATGTTTTTATTGATTTTTAGAGAGAGAAAGAAAGATTGATCGGTTGCCTCCTGTATGTATCCTGACCAGGGATCAAACCTGCAGCCTTTTGGTGTAGTATATAAATAAAGAATCCTACTTCGCGGAAATTCATTTATCGCGGTAGAGTCTGGAACTGATTAACAGTGATAAACAAGGGCCAACTTTCTGGAACAGTGCTCTAACCAACGGAGCCACCTGGCCGGGACAGGAATCTTGTTTTAAGTTAGAAGTTCCAATTCTTTATCTTTTGTACTTTAATTAAAATATATTGAGATACATACTATAGTAAATTGAGCACTTTTAGGTTGTCCTAACTAATAAGTCATTTTTAATTATTAGTTTGAATAAGAATATAGATTAATAAAATTTTTGAGTGTTTATAATACATATAACTGAAAAATAATGAAATGTCTTTCCTTCTTCATATTGTGAGGTCATGCATTAGTGTCCATTCTTGGAGATTTTTATTCTTTCTTTCAACTTGAGTGGTAAAATGTATAAAGAGATTTCTGTTAATAAGGTGATTGTCTCAGCACTGATTACTTATTAAATAATGCCTAATATCTACCCTTTTCTCTTTTTAAGCTTGGGTTTTAATATTGTGTTTTCTTATGCTTTGCCGAATTTTCTATTCCAGACATGCTGGTGTCTACACAGCTGAAGAAGTGGCCCTGATTATGCGTGAGAAACTAATTCGTTTACAATCTTTATACATTGATCAGTTTAAACGACTTCAGCATCTGCTCAAAGAGAAGAAACGACGTTACTTACATAATCGCAAAGTGGAACATGAAGCTCTAGGCAAGTTTTGTGCTAGTTCCAGCAACCTATTGTAGGTTCAGCATGTGAACCTACATATTGGTGGTAGTTACCTTCATCTTTGTTGGTATCTGGAGTGGAAGAAAATTTCCTTTTAACTGCCTGTCTTAGGGCCCAAGATTTTTCTGTTTATTGTTAATTTGGAGATGAGCCCTTGAATGATTGGTTGGCAAATAACATCTTGGTTGTTGTGACTCTCCAGGTAGTAGTCTCCTGACTGGCCCAGAGGGACTTTTGGCCAAAGAACGAGAGAACTTAAAGCGTCTAAAATGTCTTCGGAGGTATCGTCAGCGCTATGGAGTAGAAGCCTTACTACATAGGCAGCTGAAGGAACGCAGAATGCTCGCCACAGATGGTGCTGCCCAACAGGTAATTTGTGTATATACTTCTAAGGTGTATAGATTTGCTTAATTTATAAAGTTAGAGTAATCATCAAAGCACTGTTGTACAGTCTTGACTCTGACATCTGACTTATTGGATGTGGGGTATATTGAAAAGAGCAGTTGTCTATCTGGAAGTCTGGAGACATGGGTTCTAGTCTAAATTATCTTCTGACCAGTTCTGTGCCTGCACTGATCACTTCTCCCGGCCTCTCCTCTTATCTGCAAATTAAGGGGTTGCCACAGATTTCTCTTTGATTCAGAGGTTCATCAGTTCAGAAATAGGCATAGGTGAAGTCCAGTTTCCTTGGGAATCTTGTTTTAGAAGGCAGGAAGAAAGGTAGAAAAATAAGAGCAATGCCTGGCTGGTGTGGCTCAGTGGGTGAGCGTCAACCCATGCACCAAGAGTTGTCAGGGCACATGCCCAAGTTGTAGGCCAAATCCCCAGTGAGGGGCATGCAGGAGGCAGCCGGTCGATGTTCTCTCTCATCGATGTTTCTAGCTCGCTCTCTCCCTCTCCCTTCTCTCTCTCTAAAATAATAAAGAAAAATATTTTTATTTTAAAAAGAAAGAAAAAAAAACATTAAAAAAAAATAGGAGCAATGACTATTAGGAAGTAAGGTTGGTAGGAAGCAGAATTAAGTGATGACTCTTAAATTTGTTCCTCAGGCCCTTTGTCTCTGCTTCAGTAAGAGTTATTTCATTTCTATATTTTATTTATTGAAGTTCCACATAAGATTACAGTTTCAAAAGGGTTCTGCTGAAAGAAAAAGTAGTTTGAAAATCATTAGTCTTTATCACACTTATATAATGTGGAGCGATAAAATTCAAATTAGGGTTGATTCATTTTTGCACGAGAGTAAAAACATTTTTTTCCCTTTACATAGTATTGGTGAATAAATTTAAATGTTGAGTTTTCTAGCTTTTAAAAATACCTTTCTTCTTGCTCGGCCGGGTGTGGCTCAGTGGTTGAGTATTGACCCATGTACTAAGAGGTTGCTGGTTTGAGGTCAGGACACATACCCAGGTTGTGGGCCCAGTCCCCAGGGGGGACATGCAGGAGGTGCCCATTCGATGATCTCTTTCATCAATGTTTCTGTCTCTCTCACTCTCTAAAATCAATAAAGAAAGAAATTTTAAAAATGTACCTTTCTTTTTTTTTTTTTTTTTTTTTTTTTTATCCTCACCCGAGGACATTTTTCCATTTTTTTTGTACAGATAGAGTGGGAGGGAGAGAGAGGAAGGGAGAGAGAGAGAAACATCGACGTGAAGGGACACATCGAGTGGCTGCCACCCGCACGACCAACCAGGGCCGGGGACAAACTGCAACCGAAGTACGTGCCCTTAGTGGGAACCGAACCCGGGTCTCTCCGGACCGCAGGCCGACGCTCTAACCGCTGGGCCAAACTGGCCAGGGCAAAAAATGTACCTTTCTTACATATAATTAAGTATTCTCATAGGTAATTGGTTGTCTGTTCTTTTGTGGGTTGGTTGGTATTTTTTGACTTATCTGTTTTTTTCCGTTTTAGGCCCATACAACTCGTTCCAGTCAGAGGTGTTTGGCTTTCGTGGATGATGTTCGTTGTTCTAATCAGTCTCTTCCAATGACCAGACACTGCCTTACCCGTATCTTTTTACTTTGTTCAACTTGCTAGCTAGACTTAAAGGCTAGTGGGAAACACTTGCTTAATTGAAGGTCTTTGTTATCCTTTGGCCCTGAATCAAGGCCAACAGTTTCCTGAAGCTGCTGGTTTCAAGCAGGAGCCTAAAGAAATGTCTTTCTATGGTCTGTTGGCCATTTCAGAACTTGGTAAATGTAATGGTCAATTCATTAGAAAGAAACATCTTGAGTCATTGGTGATAGATGTGGGCTAATGATTATTTGTAGTCAGTTAATGCTGGGATTTCAGAATACAGAGATCCCTGATTTAACTTGTTCATTTAAATTGTAATACTGTTAAATCCAGTTATAGCAAAAAAAAATCTAACCATAATGATAGGACAATTCTGAACTGTGAGCTTCCTTTGAGTATTATCCTTTTGTTTTATTTATTTATTTATTTTTGGTACATGCCCCTAGCAGGCATCGAACCTGGGACTCTCTGGTCCACAGGCCAATGCTCCAGCCGCTGAGCCAAACTGACCAGGGCTCGAGTATTATCCTTTTGTATGGTCAGTGCCCTAACTTGTATTTTTAGACTTCAAATTAGCAACTTATGTTTCAAAAAATGGGATAATTATTCCCTAGTTAATTTGCCTTTGAGCCATCATGGCATCTTTTGATTCTGCTGTGGGGACTACATTTACTATCAGGCTATAAAACTTTTTGATCTGTTTATTATATTGTGAAAGTACATTTTTATTATGGATGTTGATTGAGAAAGTTACTTTCATTGTAAAAGCCTTTGTTAAGTGTGAAGATCTTGATTATATGAAAAACAAATCTTGTTGGATTTTATTTACCTGGCAAGAGAGAAAACACTTGGAGAGTAAAAGGAAAACTGATTTTTTCTATTCATTTAAAAAAATATTTTATTAGTTTATTATTGCAACAAATGTCTGCTAAAGGATTGCTGTCCTTAATATATAAAATACTTGTGCAGAGTAGTTCAAAACTGAAGTTAAATGCTCAAACATAATTGGTCAAAGGCAATCTTTGGACAGATTTAAAAGTAGAAGTGGCTGGTAGTTGACTAGTGCTTATTACTATAAATAAATGAAATAAAACAAGTGTTAATCTATACATTTGATGCTTATATATATTTAATGAGAATGAATTTCAGAAGTTGGTGGGGTGATGAAATGAGCCCTCTAAATGCTGCCAGTGGAAATATACAGTGATATAGGCCTTTTAGAAAGCAGTTAGACAATATTCATATTCTTTGATATGATAACATCACCTCTGGGAATTTATTTTAAGGAAATAAATGCAGATCATTATTACATAAAATTTCCCTAATTGGAGACTGTCTTAAAAATTTCAGAGTTGGGGAAGAGGAAAATAATGATACAGCATAATATGTAATATGTTCTGTCATTAAACATTTGATAAACTTTATGAATAATTTGGGAAAACATTTGATAATAGAAGTAGGATATGGTGTTCTGTAGAGTATGTTTTAACAACATGGAACTAAATGCTGGGAAGAAGTGTGACTGTTTTTGGGTGGTGGGGTGATGAATGCCCTTTTTTTCTCTGCTTTGTACTTCTCAGGTTTTCTTCAGTGAGTTTCAGTTACTATTTTATAAGTCAAAAAAACCCCACCAATTTATAGGTATTAAGGAGTTTAGAATTCTTATAGTACTATACTCGTAATTTATTAGAATATTAATATTTTAAAAGGCAAAGTTGAATATGAAATGTATTTGAAAAGAGAAGGGAAGTGTTTTTTTCTTTTATGCTCTTTTCCTTTTCACTGCATAGTTGCCTAAGTCACTTACCCTTCCTTAAGTCCTTATCCCAGAGAAAGATGCGACTGCCATTGGTGACCTGTTAAGTCTTTACTCTGGTCTAATGGAGACAGCCCTGGACTGAAAGTGAAGGACGCAAACTCTAGTTGTAGGTCAACCATTCCCTTCTCTTTGTCTCTGTTGTCCCCATCTGAAAGGAAAGGGGGCGAAGGAGGATGGGGGAGTGGTTTCTAGGATATGTGGTATTAAATAAGAGACTTGGGAAAGTCCTTCAGATGGCATGAAAAAACATTTAATTTAATGGATTAACATTTTATTATATATTTTTTAATCCTCACCTGAAGATAATTCTACATTTATCCTCAGATGGAGCGGGAGGGAGGGAGGGAGACAGGAGAGAGAGAGAGAGAGAGAGAGAGAGAGAGAGAGAGAGAGAGAGAGAGAGAAACATCAATGTGAGAGAGACTCATTGACTGGTTGCCTCCCGCATGACCTGATGAGGGCCAGGGACAAACTGCAACCGATTTACATACCCTTGACTGGAATTGAACCTGCGACTCCTTGGTCCACAGGCCGACGTTCCAGCTGCTGAGCCAAACCAGCCAGGGCTAATGGATTAGCATTTTAAATATTAATGATTTAAATAAGATTGGATTTAATAAGCACATAGAGACTGCAAGTCTGTTCCCATTGGATTTGTATCTTTGTTCATTTGATCATTTTCATTTAATATTTTTTTTCTATTTTTTGTTCCATTAGAATAGAGATTCTCAACTCGGGGTCATTTTGTCCCATTTGGCAATGTGTGGAGACATTTTTGCTTGTCATAACTCAGATTAGGGGTGCTACTGACATCTAGTGGGTAGAGGTCAGGAATGCTGCTGAACACCCTACAATGCACAGGACAGCCAGTAGTTATTAATGTCAAGGTTGTGAAACCCTCCCTGTCTTAGTGTAAAAGATTGAAAGAAATGGCTTTATTCAAGAATTTTTATTTGGTTTAAAAATTACAATGTGCATTACTAGATTTTTTTTTTTAGTTTTTTAAAATTAATATTTTTGTTCTTTAATTTATTTTTCAATTACAGTTTACATTAAAAAATCCTGAGAATAGCCCGGCCAGTGTGGCTCATTGGTTGAGCATTGACCCATGCACCAAGGGGTTGCTGGTTTGATTTCTGGTCAGTGCACATGCCATGGTTGTGGGCCCAATCCCTAGCGGGGGCATGCAGGAGACGGCCAATGTTCTCTCTCATTGATGTTTCTCTCTTTCTCTTCCTCTCTCTCTCTCTCAAATCAATAAAGAAAAAAAATTATAGAAAATTGTACTTTCTTAAAAATAAGCCCAAGTTTGAAATAATAGGAAAATAACCATGCATAGTATTTTCAGAATTGATAACACTTAAGTAAAATGTAATTTGTAGAGTAACTTGAACTGGAATTTTGTTATTTTTTTCTAATCATGATTTCAAGCCCTGGTTGGTGTGGCTCAGTGGATAGAGCATTGGCCTGAGCACCCAAGGGTCTTGGGTTCGATTCCTAGTCAAGGACACTGACTTGGGTTGCAGGTGCGATCTCTGGCCCTGTTGGGGCGCATGTGGGAGGCAGCTGATGGATGTGTCTCTCTCTCATTGATGTTTCTTTTCTTCTTTCCCTCCCTTCCACTCTCTCTGAAAAAAAAAAGTCAATGGAAAAAATAACCTTGGATGAGGATTAACAACAACAACAAAAATGATTTCAGTTTTGATTCATCCTATAGAGCTTCTCTGTCAATTTGGAAATAATAGCCCTTTTCTGCTTCTAGCCTTGACATTGGCTGTTCTCATAGCTCCTGGAACGTTCCTGGATTACTTTCTTTCTGTGGGCTTTCATAAACAAAATTATTATCTTCTCTTTCTCTTTGGGATAATAAAAGGACTCCCCTGTACTGCCTGCTCCTCCCCCAAAAGGGTATGGAAATAGGATTTTACTTTCTTTCAGGATATTGATAGCTAGTCACTATTACTAGAGCTTCCATTTTCCCTGGTCCTCTGCTGCTTTAAACGTTTTTATCATGTCAACATTTTGGAAACAAGGTTCAAAAAGTATTTGCCAGTCTGCTTAATGGAAAAGTAACTTTGTGTCTCTTGACTCTTGGAAGGGGTTGGTAGAGGCCTCTTCAGGCTATTTACATTTGCCATGAGTTTCTTCTGAATAAGTTTAGATTCCTAGGATTGTTACTGCTTTTTGCTTAGCACTGTGTTTTCAGATATTTTGTGTTTGACTTTATATGGGAGAATAAGATTAGTGTCTTTAGTTTAAATGATTAGGATCTTGAAATGGAGGTTGGGGACTAGTTTTAAATTATTGGTAGAGCTAGAATTAGAAAAATTGCTAACTGCAGTTGGTGGTTCTGTGTCAAATGTAACCAATTATTTTATGTAGTCCAGACCTTGAGTTTTACATGGTAGTCACCTTCTCTGTTTTGTACTGCCCATAGATCCATTTTATTTCCCTTGACCATTTTTCTACAGATATCTGTCAGGACACGAATCAGGTTCTCTTCAAATGCTGCCAGGGGTCTGAAGAGGTACCCTGCAACAAACCAGTTTCTGTAAGCCTCTCTGAGGAACCCTGCTGCCCACTGCATTTCCAGTTGCCTCCTCAGATGTATAAGCCCGAGCAGGTACTGTCTGTGCCAGATGATCTGCAAGCCGGCCCCATGGATCTGTACTTGAGTGCTGCTGAACTTCAGCCCACTGAGAGTTTACCTCTGGAGTTCAGTGATGTAAGTTAGAGAAGTGTGCTCTGGTTGGCCCTTGAAGCAAGGCCTTATTTATTATGGTGAAAATAAGTTAGTCTTTTGTGGTCAGGAGAGTTGATGAAGTTTTTGAAATGATATTCGCATGATTATTAGCCTATTCATTTAGAGACAGTTTAAATTGGCAGGTGTTTTTCTGAGGGAATGATAAGGGAAATTGTAAACTAAGGGACATTGGAAAGTCAAGATTATGGTTGGATTTGGTGCAGCCAAGAAATTTGCTACCTACCCACAAGGTGAGTGATTCACTAGAATCTTAATACAAACAAGTTCTGATATCTATGCTTGACAGTGTAAATGTATTTTGGCTCTATAGTAGGAGGTTTCATTTCCAGATTAATGTGTATCCCAAGAAATTACTCTAAACTTACCTCTGGTTACTGTTTTTCAATTTTGATGTTATTATATATTCTGTTGTATATGGACTAGAACAACAGTGTTCTCTCTGAGTATTTACTTTTATAGCCTTAGAAGGAAGTATAATCCTCTGCCTTTTTCAGCTTGTCTTTGATTTGTCCCAGCCCATAAACCCAGCTCAGATTTTGTTTCCCTGATTAGCACTATCCTACTATTTGACTTTAGGAACCAATTGACATTCCATCTCTGTCTTGGCACTTAGCTTAATCTTTAGCCTTCTGGATAAAGGTTTTCATTATTGCGAAGATAAGTCTTTTGAATTTCATAATAAAGGTATCTTGTGTATAACCATGACATGTTTAAGGGGACAGATCTAAATGGAAAATTCAGTATAGGTGGAAGCAAGGTTCGGGTGGCCTAAAATTTACTAAAAAAGATAAACTAGGTCAGGGTAATATCTGGGGAAAAAGGCATTAAGAATAAACTGATTGCAATTTTTTTTTCGTAATTTTTCCTTCCTTTATTGGGATTATATACTGTCTATAGGTATAATAAATTTACAGTTTTTATTACTTTATAATAAAGTTTTTGTTATAATGCAGATTATAATTGCTTTTTAAAGTTTCTTTCAAAAAAGTTTCTTTGACAGATTCATAGGACATGAGAACTAGAAAGAGACCTTAGTGTTATTATACCTCAGTGTTTCCCAAACTTTTCCACTGGGATTATGTTGAAGAGAGTAAATGAATAGGTAGCTCTAGATTGGGGGGGGGGGGGGCAGATTTTTATCTACTCCTTCATTTTATTTTTATTAATCCTTACCCAGGGATTATTTTTTCCATGTATGTGTGTTTTTTTTTTAAGAGCTGAAAGGTGGGGTGGGGAGAAACATCCATGTGAGAGAGACACATGGATTGGTTGTCTCCTGCATGCACCCTTACCAGGGTCATGAATTGAACCTGCAAACCAGGTATGTGTCCTTGACTGGAAATTGAACCTGTGAACCTTTGGTGTGTAGGCCGACACGCTAACCACTGAACCACTCCAACCAGGGCTACTCCTTCATTTTACATGTGAAGAAAACCCAGAAGGGTGCTTTTATTTTTAATACATAGTAATAGCTTTATAGAGTCTAAAATATAACCTAATAACCACTACATCATCAAATTCTGTTCAAATATTAATGTACATATGTAAAAACTAGCATGTGTTTTATATAGATGTACTAGATTATTAATGCTTATGTCTCATAATTTCTAGAGCCATTTCTGTTCTTGTCATTTTGCTTTTCTCCTTTCACCTGTTTTTTACCATATTTATTTTAAATGATCTTTCTCAAACATTTGATAATCTAGAGTTAAGAAAAGAATGACTATTCCAGTATGTTTGAAGATATAGTCTTGTTTGCTTTTTGGAGAATATTTACCCAAAATATTAGAGATTGTAAGATGTGATTGTAGGCAACTATGTATCATCAAATCTGTTCATCTTTATATTTGGCATGGATTTCTTAAAGAATGTATGAGAAAAAACTTTACTTTTGAGAATCCAGTGGATTTTTCTTTTTTTTAATCCTCACTCAAGGACATTTTTCCATTTTTGTTCAGATAGAGTGGGAGGGAGGGAGAGAGAGAGAGAAACATCGACGTGAGAGAGAGTGGTTGCCTCCCACACGACTCAAATCAGGGTTGGGGACAAATCGAAACCAAGGTACATGCCCTTGACCGGAATCAATCTTTGGAGGTAAAAATTCTCCAGAAAATGTTGAAACAAAATTCAGTTTTAGAAAAGAATTTTTGTCCTCCCACAAATTCTGGATATATTAGTATAAAATTTTGCTGGGAAAAAAATGATTTCTCAATTATATGAATTTCACCAAGCAATTTTTTTTACCTGTGTTCTGTCTTAGATATATATCATTTCTACAACTTATTAATAACTTTTGATAAGTTTACTCATGGGAGGGCCAGATATGAGCTATTAATATGGATAAAAATTCATCCTTTCTTTCTGCACTTGATCTTAGCCAAAAGGCGGAGAAGCAATGAGCCTTTCATTCTAGATAATACACTTGCTTGTTTCCTGTGCTTTGATCCAAGGATGTTTAGCAAGGAACAACCCATTACTTAATCCTATTACTTTGAGCTTGCTCTGTGAGTTGTGTGTGGTTTTTGAGATCAGAACAAAAATGGATTATATGTTAAAATGTTTTGATGCTTCCTGTCCTTAAATATTCCTGTTATTGTAGGCTTTTCTGCTGATTGTTTTTTTCTCTTACTTTAGTTTTTTTTCCCCAATTTTAATTCTTGTAACAGACAACACTATGAATATATGAGAAAAACCTTTTCAGTATCTATTTTCCTTTGAAAACATTACCATACTGTTGTCATCTTCAGACTTGGAAACCTTTTGTCTCACCATTTAAATTTGTTATTTTAAATTTCAAGTTAATTGTTTATATAATAATTGTACATAGTAAAATAATAGAAGGAAATAGTTCACTGTCTTAGCTGTATGAGAACACTGGTTTCTGTGGATATTATAGAAGTTTCTGAATATTACATATCTGAATGTTAGGTAGCTGGCTGCATCCTTTCCCCTGTGCCTTTGCTTCAATTAAGCAGCTTTAAGTCCAGAGTTCTTTACTTACTTTTTTTTTGGTTAATCCTCACCCGATGATATTTTTTCATTGATTTGTTTGTTTGTTTGTTTGTTTAGAGAGAGCAGAAGGGGGAGAGGGAGAAGCATTGATTAGTTGCCTCCTTCACTGGGCAGGAATCAAACCTGTAACCCAGATAAATGCCCTTGACTGAGGGCCTACGCTCTAACCACTGAGCAACTCCAGCCACTGCTTTACTTACTTTTTTTTTTTTTAACTTGTCTTGAAGATGTGAGTCTTGTTTTTGGTTTTTGGTGATTTGCAGATCAGTGAAAGGGAGAGGATTTCAAACTCTTTAAGACTTACTTATTTCAAAGCCTAGAAGTAAGTGGGCTTCTCGTGCAATTATATTACTGGAAACATAGAGTCTCTATAAAGTAGATTGGGCATAGGGGAGTACAAACCCTTGAGTAATTTTCCCACTTAGACAGGAGAGTTTAGGAGTAGCTTCTTAGAAAGTGGTGACATGAAAGGCTGTTTGACACATTGTCTGAACCTTTGTAAATGCTTTAGGCCCTGAATCAAGACCAGTGGTTTATTGTAGTTGTTGGTTTCAAACAGGAGCCAAGAGCAGTGTCTTCCTGTGTTGGCCATTTAGGACTCCAGTGGGAATGGCCTATTCAATAGGAATAAACATAGTCTTAGAATATAATGTCTTTTTTCTTTCTTCCTTTTTTTTTTTTTGATAGAGCAATTGGATTGTGTTAGGTTTAAGAATCAGGAATTTACTCTGTGGGAATAGGGATTTAACCAAATATGTATTTTGTAGCTATTAAGAGGGACTTTGAGTTTTTTGGTCTTTCTCATTTCTCTCTTCTCTCCCTTTCCCTCTCTTGCTCACTGGCTTGCTTTGTGGCTGTTAGGACATTAATCAAGCAATCTCATATTGTCCAATATTTTAACGCAATATTTAAGTTTAATTTGCAAAGATGCTGATTGAAAAACATGTTTTTCTAAGCTACTGTGGTGGGTGTACTTTATACTTGGCAGCAAGTAAACAAATGGATCTTATCCCATTTGTTGGACATTATGGGAAAGTCTTTGTTTGATTCAGGGTAGGCAAGGGGTAAGTGAAGTATGAGGAAATTGCTTTGTGGTTTGCTGAAAATTATGCCAATTTTAGCTCATTGGTTTCCTTGGTATTGCTGATAGGCTTTTCTCTTTCTTTTCCTAGGACTTGGATGTTGTGGGTGATGGTATGCAGTGTCCTCCTTCACCCTTGCTTTTTGATCCTTCACGAACCCTTGAAGATCATTCAGTCAAAGACACTGCTGAAGGCCCAGTGGAAACTTTGGCAAGTGAAGAACAACCCCAGCCAGGCCTCCCTCATATGGTCACACAGCCAGGCAGAGGATTCCCTACTGGCTGTCTTAGCGTGTACTCCAAGGGAGTGAGTGGGGTTGTCCTCACATGGAGACTGTTCTTCAGATGGGCTCTTAGAGAGAACCTCTGGTTCTCATATCTCAGAGCAGGGCACAAATTTTAGTTATATAAGGAATCTAGGTAATTTTCCCTTTTAAGGGAGAGTTCACTAGAATTGTTTTCATGATAGGGTAAGGATAAGTAATATGATTTGGTTTCTTTCTCTGGGCCTTGGGTGGGATATGAATGGCCCTGACTGAAGACCAGCAGTTATGCTATAGCTGTTGGTTTCAAGCAGAGGCCCAAAGGACCATCTTCCTGTGATCTGTTGGTTGTTCTGGAAACTTAGCACAGAATGGCTGTTTTATATGGAAGAAACAACCCACAGCTCTCCCTGCCATTGGGAGAGCCTCAGGAATGCTTCAAGTAATAACTTCTGACTTTAAGGGTCAGGGACAGTTAAGTATGGGGAAGAGCAACTGCCCAGAGCTATTTTATTTATGCTGTCATGTTCTTGTTGCTATGATACATGGGCATTGATAAGTCAGATTCATGCTTCAGACCACAACAAATGAATTTGTAACCAAAGTGACTTTCTTTTAACAGGGCCGGATGCAGATGGCCGGAGATGGGTGCAGATCCCAGGGATCTCGAAATTCAGAGAAAGCCTCTGCACCATTGCCTCAGAGTGCAGTGGCTACTGCAAATGGGAAGCCAGAACACACTTCTGTCAGTTGATAGTTTGTTTTGGGAACCATTTGAATTTCCCATACTTTAAACAAGTATTTCTGACCATTTCTCTCTAAAGGACAACCCAACTACTTTATTTTTCTTCTGGGTTATTGAGTGCTATAGTCAAATGTACACCAAATTTTGGGGGAAGGGACTAATAGTGTCTAAAAGTTATGAGTGTCTTCCCACTCTGGGCAAGGAAGAAAAAGATAGGTGAATCCTGTCCTAGCAGCTGGGATTCAGCGAATATTTGGGACTCTGTGCCTATAAATAGAGAAATCTTTGTAAGGGGAGTTCCCAAGCCTTGGGAACAAATCCATATAGGTGTTTAGATGGGAGCTGTGTACCCCTGGGATATTGATGGACCCAGTGTCTGGTTATTGCTATCTAACAGTTTGTGTTTTAGCCTTTCTCACTTCTCACCTAATTGGGTAATCTGAACTCCCTTCCCCCCAGTAAACTCTGACCTACAGCCTCAGAAAATAGCCCACAGGACTGGGTCTTCCTTAACCATCCTCTTGCTTCTAACCTATGTAAATTTCTGTAGTGACTATCTTATGTAAGATACCATAAAAAGTTATTGTATATAGTTTCTATTAAATGTTAAAATGGTATGAAAATATAAAACAATCACTTGACTGCATGTTTTGTTTGTATTTGAGAGTATATATACATTTGGGGGTGGTCCTTAGGGATGTGTTTCTGATGGGAAAGGGAAGAAGGGCAAAATATACTTCCATCCCAAGAAGTAAATATATTTCAGTAACTTCATTTTGGTTTGCAGAATAAAGACCTGTTAGAAGTAAACAGAAAGGAGTGGGACCTCCCTATTAAAGCCTACTGGTTCCAAATATCTTCCTTTTCACTCTCCTCTGTGCCCCCTACTTGTATTCCCATTTCTATCTCAGTGCCTGATTATCATTTTAAAATTCTGTAGGCATGTATATGCATAAACCCATACGTATATGTAATATACAGTGATACCTCGGTTCTCGAACGCCTTGACTTTCGACCAAATCGGTATTCGACCAGGAGATTCGAGAAACTTTTGTCTTGGAATCCGAACAAATATTTGGAACTCGAACTTCCGAGATGAGCCGAGTTGAGCCGAATGGCGTTCATTCGGCCCAGCGCGCCTTGCTTGCGTCATCAGTGTGAGTGCAGAGAGAGAGTCACGCTTTGTGGAGAGAGTCACGCTTTACACTGAATTGAACCCTTAGACATACTGTACACTTTTATTTCTTGTTGAGACTTATGTTTTTCTACATATTATATACAAATTAGGCCAGTAAATAGGCATTTTCTGGGGCTTGGAACGAATTAATCCAGTTTCCATTATTTCCTATTGGGTTTCATTGCTTCGGTTCTCGAACAATTTGGTTCTCGACCGTCCTCCTGGAACGAATTATGTTCGAGAACCGAGGTATCATTGTATATAAAACTCTCGGAGAAGTTGGGTCTGATGCTCCATCACAGAGATGGGCATAAATTATCAAGATCTTTATTTTTTTATGACTTTTATTTTTTTATCCTCACCTGAGGACATTTTTTCCATTTTTTTTTTGTTCAGATGGAGTGGGAGGGAGAGAGAGGAAGAGAAACATCAATGTGAAAGGGACACGTAGAGTGGCTGCCACCTGCACGACCCAACCACGGCCGGGGACAAACTGCAACCGAGGTACATGCCCTTAGCGGGAACCGAACCTGGGTCTCTCTGGACCGCAGGCTGACGCTCTAACTACTGAGCCAAACCGGCCAGGGCTATTTTTTATGACAGAGAGAGGAAGGAAGAGGGAGAGAGAAAGAAACATCAATGCGAAAGCAGAACATTGATTGGCTGCCTCCTTGCATGTCCCCTGACCAGGGATGGAGCCTGAGATCCTGCCGAGTGTCCTGACTGGGAACCGAACCAACAACCTTTAGTACACCGGACAATGCTCAACCAACTGAGCCACACCAGCCAGGGTTGTCAAGATCATTTTGATGAATCAAAGGACAAGGTTAAAATAAAAATTGAGTTAGGGTTAAGTTACTTATGCTAGAAGTTGTCTCATTATAATGCATTATGAACAGTGGCCAAAAGATCACCTATAAGAATCAAACTGAAAAAGAAAACTAGGAACACCAGCAATTTTCAACATTCTTCATCTCATGGTGTACATTAATTACTAAAATTCTGTGGCACACCAAAATATATATTTTGCTGATCTGGGAAAAAACAGGTAAAATTTTTATTAAAGCATTGCATATGTGTCTCTCCATACTTATTCTTTCTGCAAATTGGAGTAAGGAGTGTCTTCAATCCAGCTTTGTCCAAGTAGATAAGGACAGTACCCTAGGGAAGTACTTCTCAAATGTTTCTATGCATAAGAATCACCCGATTCTTAGATTAAAACAATTCTGTAGGTCTGCAGTGGACCCAAAAATTTGCATTTCTAGCTCCCAAGTGATGCTGATACTGCTGGTCCATGGAACACACTGAGTAGCACTGCTGTAGAGGATGGTAGAAATGGAAGATGGAAAGAATCTGAGTTTCTGAATGGGACAAAGGAGCCTTTCTACCCATCTTGGACTATTTTGTGAGAGTACCATATTTTTTGTATTCTACAGCTTAGTCATTTACCCCAGCCAACATGATCCTGGTATTCTGCCAATTCTCCCCTATGTCTAAAACAAATCTTTCCCACAATTCTCTTCTGTTTTATTTTGAACTTTCCTTCATGGTTATGGAGAATATTAGCCACCTCTACTAAATGAATTTCATAAAAGCTGGCATCTAGAATACTATATTTAGCTCTGGCCGGTTTGGCTCAGTGGTTGGAGCATCGGCCTGTGGACCAGAGAGTCCTGGGTTTGGTTCCCGGTAGGGGAACGTACAAAAAAAAAATACAATACTATATTTAGCTGTCAGCTTAGACTGGGTAACCCATAAAAAGTTCTCAGGCAAGGATTTTTCTTCAATTATCTTTCCAGAGGATATACGGGAAACTTCAGTGGTGGACTTGGAAAGAACAAGATTTCTAGTTGTGTATATAATGACCCAGTAGCAAGTCTTCATCATGATCCAGTCCTTGAACATGCTACTTGAGATAGCTGAATTTGAGTAATTACAAAATACTTTTTTTCTTTACTGATTTTAGAGAGGAAGGGAGAAGGAGAGAGAAACATTGATGAGAACATAGGCCGCCTCCTGCATGTCCCTACTGGGGATTTGGCCCATAACCTGGGCATGTGTCCCGACCAAGAATCAAACCAGCGACCTTGATGCATGGGGTTGACGCTCAACCACTGAACCACACTGGCTGGGCAGAATTTGAATACTTTTTATTTTTGAGGCAGAGATGGGGGAACTTTCAGAGCTTTCAAGGGTCTTGAAGAATTTCCCTGCCTTGTGGGCCACCTTCTCCAGGAGCCATGTTCAAGGACAGTCTCACAGTTTACAGCTGGCCAGGTATTTGGACAAATCCTTGCTTTTGCAGTGATTTTGCCAAGCCACCCTAAGGATAGAGAAATAACAGATCAGAGGCAGGTCAGAAGTCTGTGAGGGCTCGGTTGAGGGAATGCAGGGCCTGCAGGCTGGAGTCTGTTTATGCTGTGGGAGAGGGCCCGATAGGGAAGGCTTGACCCCCGCAGACAGCTGTGGGTGGGTACTGCCCTGATGCCTGGAGTGAAAACGTCACAATATTGTTTTGCCTTGTTTCACCTCACGAGAACAGTCTCGACTTCTTATAAAGTTCAGGGAAAATCCTACAGCATAGACGCTACTCATCAGCCTCTCAGCTACAGTCTGGGCCCATCCCTGGCAGAGTCACATTCTCCTTACCAAGCAGACATCCCGTTAGGATCTCTCACAACCCTCTTGGCACAGATGATGTCATCATCAATGTTATCATCCAGAAATTCTGAAAGAAAGGTAAGTGAGGAGGGAAACATCCCTTTTCCTGTTTTAGTGATGAATAATTTTTTGAGAACAATTACCAGAGGAAACAGCCTTGAGATTCAGAAACTCTTTATCTCTGGGGCCCTTCAGTGGGTTTGCCTTTCATTTGGCTGGGTTTTGGTACTTTTGCTAAGACTCTGTCTTTAAGACCTGTTCCCTCCAGAGGCCATCGAGGACTTAATGGACTAGGGAGAGCCTTTGTTTCAGGCAACTGAATGTTGTGTGTGGGTTTGTGGAATGGTGACACACTGGTGTCTGTGACAGGAACAGGATAGCATGTCTTGAGAGATCGGGACCCATGAAGGTGAGACTAAATCAAGGGTCAGTGTACCTCTCTCCCTCCTTTTCGGCAGGAGGATCTGTGTGGAATCCTGTTTTAGTGTGAGGACTGTTTAGAGCCCTTTTATTCCATCTACTCAGCTTCTGCAGCACAGTTCGAGGGTGAGGTGTTAGGGAGTAATGTATTCAATTTGGCAGCTATTTGACCTGCCCCTATTCCACCCAGCCCTCAGAGGGGACAGAGTCCTTACTGCTGCACATGATGTTGCAAGCGTTTGCTGAGGAGTGCTTGTTGTCATTGCACCACCATTTGTTGTTCAGCTGGAAGATCCCATAATCAGCACTGCCATTGGCGTTCTTTCCATTTAAAGCCCGGGTGTTGAAGTTACTCTCATACTGAGCCATGCAGACCCCTGTGTCAGAGAGAGCAAAAGGTGTAGATAAAAAGGGGAGCGTGCTCCACAGTAAGATTCAACGTGTGCTGTACTAGAGCTGCCAGAAATGAAAGTCTATTAAGATTGAAATGCAAAGACTATGAGACCCTCATTGTTAGAGGTCATTTGTAATCCAGGTGTATTCCCAGGCTTAAGCAATAATTAGCCCATGGTAAGTATATAATAATAATTCATTAAATAAGTGCATTTGGAATGCCCAATCATTAGTCACTCACAGTCTGTTCCACAGTCTAACCTTTCCAGCCTCACCTTCCAGCCAAATATTCAGTTCTTGCTATGTATATGTACTTTTGCTCTGTATCCCAAGGTATATGCAAGGGAAGAGGTGGAGAGGTAGTGGAGGAGAATCCTAGAAAGGAAGGAATTCCAGAAAAACTACCCTTGGGGGTAATAAGAAAGAGAAGGTTTGGCATGGAGAAAAATGAAGATGTTCAAGAGAAGTTAAAATCGTTTTATGTGTGCATACCAATGTGATAGATGACCTAATGCTTACACCCTTGTCATTGCCTCACCTTCTGTTCTCACAATCCCCATCTAACTCCTTGTGACACTAATAGAGCAACCTTAGACAAACTTAGCAGATGTAGGTTATTTTTTTGTCAGACAAAAGAGCAGAGGAGAGGGTGGGAGGCAGCACCTGTTGTGCTCCAAGGACCTGGACTAAGAAGAATGCAGGTGGAAGCAAAGGTATTGGCAGCAAAACTAGAATTAGTTTGGTTAGGCTTTGGATATGTCCAAGGAGATATTCCAGGCTATTGAGTGGGAAGTGATGTAGGGGAGAAACAAAAGAAAATCTGTTATAGGTGGGTTAATCCCTGGAAGAAAGAGAAAAAAGGAGAACCATATAGGAATTAAAGGGCAGAAGGGACAGAGAGAAGGACAGGCAGGCAGTGGGAGAAAGCTGGGTTGGGGAAGAGGGCCTTTTTGGGCAAAGACAAAAAGGACAGATGAGTAGTTCATACTCACAGTTCGCCAGGCTGTAGCCATGGAAGCCATCCATTCCGTGGGCTTTCAGCTTGCGGGCCAGGTCGCACTTGGAGAAGACTTTGGCATTGTAAACTGCAAAGAAGCAGCTGAGGAGGGAGATGATCAGAACTGACCTCATTTTTGCAGCTAGTGCAATCCAAGGACTGGCATACCTAGGACGCTCTCGTTTCTTATACCTTTTGGGCACAAAGGTGTCTCTGAGTGAGTTGTGCTGGCATCTGTGCCAGGAAGAAGGACTTGGCTGCCCAAAGCTAATTCCCCAAGCTGGTCCTACCAGTGTAAATTTCAGAGAAGGAGATGTGACCAAGAATGATACCAGGAATAAAGTCGGGGGGGGGGGGGGGAGAGGTGGGGTGGGGAGGAGGGGAGGACATGGCAGTCCTAGATTTGGGCAAATACATGGAGGGGGTAATGGGGAAAGTAGGGATTTGGTAGGATAAAGAAGTGTGATTTTTCAAGGCTTGTTCTTTGTTGGAATGTCCCCAAAGAGGGTTGTCCTTATATGCTCTGCTGAACTTTGCCCTTGTGTCTTTTCTTGCATATTTTCAGAACTGCAATCTTGAATTCTCTGTCATTTATATCACACATTTCCATGTGTTCCAGTTTGATTTATGGAGATTTTTCATTGTCTTTCTGAACCACCTCACTACTGAGGTTATTCATGGTATTTGCTGTTCTCTCTTTAGGCATCTGCTATTATTGGCCTTTCTCTAGCAGCTTTCCATCAAGAAGTCTTCCTACTACTTTCCCATAGGTGGCGCTGAATCACAAGAGTTTTAGCCCTGTGAAATCGGGGCTGCCAGGGCACAAAATATATAATTTATTCTGAGGGACACCAAATAGAAAGATCTGAATTAACTCAGATCCCACTCTCCCAGGAAGCCATTCTTTTCCTTCGGACAAGTGGCCTGCTGACTGTTGGTAAAGCCTTTTCAGACTTTGCCTAGTCTCTCATCAGTTTGTCAGAAGCTGGGAATTCTTTCTTTTTCTTGATTCTCCTAGTCTGTAGTCCCCATACAAGTGAAATGATGAATTTCTCTTACCTAACAGTGGATTCTTCAAGGATTTCTACCTTGGTATAGGATTCCTTCTTTCAGTTATTGCAGTAGTACCCTAACATCAAACACTCAGGAAGGCCTTGATAAGTACTGTGGAATGAATGAATGAATAAATAAATAAATAAATTCATTACAATAATTTTCCAGTATTAAATTGCCACAGAAAAATCACAGCATCTGACAATTATTGGTGGGGTTAGAGAAAGAAGCATTTAAATGATTACTAAAAGAGAGACGGAATTTCTGGGTTATCCCCTAACTGAAGATTGGTTGAGATGGAACCATAATTAAGATCAGAGATAGCCCTGGCCGGTGTTGCTCTGTGGTTAGAACTTCACTCCATGGACCAATAGGTTTCAGGGTCGATTCCTCGTCAAGGGTGGCACATACCTGGGTTGCAGATTTTTTTTTTTTTTTTTATTGTTGAAAGTATTACAAATGTCCCCATTTTTCCCCATTGACTCCCTCCTTCCTGCTCCCACCCCCCTCTTGCCTTCCCTAGCCTTATGTCAGTGTCTATTTGGGTTGCAGTTTTGATCACTGGCCCTGGTCAGGGCTTGTACAGCAGACAACCAATCGATGTATCTCTCTCACATCCATGTTTCTCTCCAACCCCCCCCCCCTTTACTGTCTCTAAAAATCAATGGGAAAAAAATATCCTTGGGTGAGGATTAAAAAAAAAGAAAAAAAAAAATGATTGGAGTGTGTGTGTGTAAATGTAGGTGGAAAAAACCAGAAAGCCCAACATGATATTGAGTTTTCTCAGTTTTTCAGTTAAGAATGATGCCATTCCACATTAGCAGATGGCAGCGAGAACACAGGGTTTTGTGTCCCTTCCCTGGTCCTCTTTCCCCTCTGGTTTTGGGCTTACATTATTCAGACACACGTTTGGTCACATGAGAGGTAGAGTGAATAGAATACTTTCAGGTGTAATTTAACATATTTTATCTTCTTTATACTAATGACTTCTTAAAGAGCCAGGAAGAGATTTGCATGGAGAATGGAATAGGACCTTGAGTTTGGCAGAGAAATGGAGCAAGGGAAGAAACTAGGTAAAATTAAGCAAACCAATCAACCAGTCAATGACCCAAAACTTTTCAAGTCTGGACTCTGAATCAATCATTTACTGCTTATGATCAAACAGTTACTCTTGCTCTCTAACCAGTGAATTTGACCTTGTTCCCTAGTAAAATTCTTAATTAGAAGTTTTATGGAACACTTGGAAGTCTTATAAGGAGGCAATCACCAGGAGCTATGTAATGCTAATTATAATGTGAAACCTCATATAATGTCCTTTATTTATAGTATTAATAATTCAGTAGATTAGGAGAAAGGGGTAGAAAAAGACATTAATTTCAGTAAAACTTCACAGAAAAGATGACTGTGAGCTTAAAGTTAATACCCTTAGTTTGGCTATTGTTCATCAAGATTATTCATTAATGACTCTAAAAATCTGGAGAAAGATATATAGTGTAAAGGAAAAGGTTTTCTTTTATTTATTAATTTTTTTAAGGAGAAGGTTTTATAGATTTTGTCTTCTTCACCTATTTTAACAGTGACTTTGGTAGACATAAAAATATGCATGGCTCATCAAATTTTAGGTGATATGAAACAAAGAGGAGAAACCAATATTACAGTTGATAGAATTACAATCCAAAATAATCTTGTCTTTTGGAATGCTAGACCAAACACAAGATGAAATTCAATGGGCACATGTAGAATCTGCATGTAGGCTTTAACAATCAGTAGAAGAAGTACAGGAAGGCTAAGATGACTTAGTAGTCATTTATGTAAAAATGATTTGAGACTTTGTTGATTATCATGAATTAGGCATTGGGACCTGTGATGTATTAGGTACATATGAAGAATGTGGAAATGTTCAATCTGGAAAAGACAAAATCAATGGAAGAATATGATACCTGTTTTCAAATACTGGAGGGATTTCTGTAAAGAAGAGGGGTTATGGTTAGCCCACAGAGGCTCAGTGGGCAGAATAAAGACCAAGGGGGTGGTGATGGTGGAAAATCCTCACCCACCTGCCTGTGCTGATTTCATAGAGGTGATTCTTACGGGGCTAACTACTGTTATTTACAGCAGGATTTTTGGGTAGGAAAATAAGGAGAGGTTCACTTGATAGGATAACAGTGGGGGATATCAAATTTCTACTTGAAGCCTCCAGAAGTTTATTGGCAAGTATGAGCCCCATTCATTGGAACCCCCTGGAACAAACACAAAACATTTAAAAAACATGACAAGCTCTCTTCTGAATTTGTTTAGATTGGATCAGAGGTGGTCCTCTCTGTAGACAGAGAGTAGTGTCAGCCCAGAAAACTCTAGATACTCAGATTCAGTGGAGAGAAGGCCTGTCCTGCTTTGGGCTCGGAGTCAACCCCTTCTGTTCTGGTTGTCTTACCCCTGGAGTAAATTCTTCTGCCAGCTGACAGCTCTGGACTTTCTGCTTCTCTCCTGTGAAGCTCCCTGTTACTGGTTTCTCCCCACCCCAGGCTGCTCACAAAAGTCTGTTGTCCGTGTTCTGTATGTGCTCCTATGGACACTACTGCTTTTCTAGAGCAGGACAACCTCCTTCCCTTGTGGGGCTGGGAGAAGAGCCTGTCTGGGAAGGAGAGGCAGCGTGCAGACAACTGGAAAAGCTGAAGTTGCTCCAGTTAAATGTTCTGGTCCCTCAGGGACCACATCCAGGTGCTTCACTCAGATTTAATGACCTCTTCCTTCTGAGGTAGGGGAAAGACATAAGGATAGCTACACTTAAAACCGATCTTTATCTAATACTGTATAATTCATAAAGCAAATAATAACTTATTTAATATACAGCTGATGCTCAGAGTGAGCCCCCAGGTGAAATATGAGTATGCTATGATTTGTTCTTGCAGCATTGGAATGGAGTATCTAGAGTATGACCTCTAAGGACTAGATTTAATCTCTTAGCATGCTGGAGGCAGGAGGAAACCGCAATATAATTCTATAGATAATTTGTTCTGTTATTTGATAGTTTAACATCACATATTAACATACAGCCAGGTCAGGCCCCTTCAGAATAATGGAGACAGTGAAATGTCACTGACTGATGACTGTGAAGAAGGAAAGGTGCTCCTGAAACATAGCACTTGGTCCTTCCACAGGAAAGCAGAGAACAGAGCCAGCTAGGCCAGAAGGACAGCTCAGGGTCACAGCAGGGGTTGAGTTTTCTTAGTAATGGACTAGGATGGCCCTTCCTGGAAGAAACTGACAAGTGTTTTACCTTGACAGGTGAAAGACTGAGTGGAAAGACTTGGATGAGGAAGTGGTGACCTGGAAGGAAGGAGTTAGCATATTTTCTTTGAGGAAGTAGCTGAGAATAAAATATGGCTGCCTAGGTCTTGGGTTGTGTAACAAGCCTGAGGGAGAAAGAGAAGAATAAGATTTTTTCTAGGTACAAAGAAAAGCCAGTGTTTATTGACTTAGGCTTTATGATGACAGTAATAAAAATATCCAACTTGTGCTTAAAGGTTTGTTTAAATTTTGGCTCTTTTTCTGAAATGTTTTCTGTGAGTTTGGTGGAAATGAAAGCATTATCTATTGTTTTTTTTTTAGGTATTAAGTTAAAATTTTGTATAAAAATGTGTCATGACCTTAATTTAAGATATATTTATCACTCTGGCTAGGTGGCTCAATTGATTGGAGCATCATCCTGTACACCAAAAAGGTTGCAGGTTCGATTCTCTGTCAGGGTACATACCTAGGTTAGGTTCTGGGTTTGATCCCCAGTTGGGGCCTGTATGGGAGGCAACCAACTGATCGATGTTTCTCTCTCTAAAAAATCAATAAACATATCCTTGGGTGAGGATCTTAAAAAAAGAAATATTTATCAAGTATTTATGACCTGTCAGACACTGTTCTAGGCTCTAGATATAGAGCAGTGAACAAAACAAAATTTGATTAGTAGAGTTATCTATCTACGACTTTTAGTTATCCACATTGATGTATTGATGTTTCTTTCTCTCTCCCTCCTTCCCACTCTATCTAAAAATCAATGGAAAAATATCCTTAGGTGAGAATTAAC